AGGGTGCTACTATAAGTTATTTTAGCGCGTTTATTCTGGATCCAATTACTCTAGACCTTAGCTAATTCCTAATAGACTGTTAAGGGTAGTAGTAATAATAATAATAACGATACCGACAACGATTTTATTCTAGTCTTATTCGAACCGCCCTGCCTCGAATATATAAAGTGTATTTATTCTAGAAAGCAGCGCTCCTTTAATTACTATTTTTCCGTTCCTAGGCGCTCTAATAGGTGCTAAAAGTATAAGGATAAAAACTATATATACTATTCTCTATAAGTTCTTACTCCTTATCTAAGGCGCTTTATAATTATAATCGTGTACTCTATTTCGTATTAGCTCGAAGATATATACGCTTTTAAGCTTTACGACCGCTAACCTATACTTATAGTTTTTCTAGCCTTATTTCCTTAGTTAAAATTCTGTTTAACTATATTATAGTCCGAAAAGTCGATAAAGACTCGGAGGACGATAATAAAAAGGTGCGTTTATCGCTTTATTTTTAAGGATAAAGGCTCTAAGTAACTAGTCTCGCGTAGTTTTTCGCTAAGCTTAAATAACTGGTAAAGTTTATAATTAAGTTAATAAAGGATAACGATAATAAGAAGTTTTTCCGTAAAGAAGAATCTAAGAGAGAGTTAAACTAGCTCCCCGCTATTACTTCGAGTAGTAATTATACCTCCTAGCTCGCGGGGGTTATAATAGATATTCTTCGGGAGAATAGGTTTATCGTTACTCCTCCTACTAGAGGAAATAGCGTAGATATCGCGCAGAATAGTGCTCCGGATAGTATTAATAGAGCTTAGTGAATTATCTAGTACACTCCGATATTATCTTTTAGGGTTTACTTTTAGGTTTTAGTATAGTGTTTTAGTATTAGAAGTAACTATACCCTACTTTTTACTAAATTAACTAAACCGCCGGCGCGCGGTACGCCTAAGGCACGGGAATTTCGACTTTAACTACTTCTTTCTACCTCCTCTATACACTAATTGTATTAAGATATACTCGGAAATTCTCGAACTTTTATCGTGGAAGTGCTTTTATTAATCCGTCCGATAATATTAAATTCGTAGTAAGATATACGACTCTAAATAATCCCTTTATATTCTCCTGCCTTACCTAAAAGCGCTATATATCTATATAGCGAAGCCTAGTCTTAATCCTAAAGCTATCGTCGACTATTAAGCGTATTATTTATATATTATCGTAATAGATATCCTAAGGAGATTCTAGATTAAATCGTATTTCGACGAAAAGACGCTTTAAACCTATTATTTCTTTCGCTACTTACTCTAAAGCGAGTAGCTCTACTGTAGTTATAGATATTATTACCGTTACTTACCTAATTACTTTCTATATAACTAATCTACTAAATAGGCTAATAAGGTAACCCTATAAAGGTCTTTGTGTATCTAAATCGTCTATAAAAAAGGCGTTATTTACGATAACTATCGTCTATAAATTAATACTTAATCCGTACTAAATTAAGAGGTCCCTTATTATAAATAAATAGCGGATAGCTTAGTCTACCGCTTTATAATACTCGGGAGAGGGGTTTCTAAGAAAGCGGGAGAGAATAGAGGCGGCGAATACTATATTAGGACGTATTATAACTACTATATAAAGCACTAATCCGACCTTTTCTTAATAAGATTTAATCTCTTAAGCGGTAGCTTTATCTTCTTTTTTCCAGTATTCTATAATAGAAATAGGGATTACTAGGTAGGTGTTTATAGTATCTAAACTAAACCTAGCTATAATCTTTTCGATATATAAGTTATAGGAGAGGAAAATATTATGTTAAGGGCGATCTTAAGTAATTTTAATATTTAAAAACTAATCGGCTTCCCCCTTTTCCGATACTTTAAACCTTATTTTAATCCCTTCGATAATCCTAAGGCTATTTATAGCACTATCTCTATAAAATAACACGAGAATATCGTTTATAAAGAAGATAACGAATACGTCTTAAGCCTTAGTATAGAATAAACACGGTTCTTCCTTATTAGCCTTTATCTCTAAGTCTATTAGGGTGGCCGCGAAGGTCTAGAACTATAGTCTAGGCGAGTCGCGTAGTCTATATAGTGCTTTATCGAGCTTTAAGTACTTATCGGGCTACTTAAATCTATTAGGAAGTTCGTATATAATAGGCGTTCCTGTTTTACCCCTTTAGGCATTAATATAAGCGTTAACGATATTAAGTTACTTAATCTCTAGATTAAACTAAGCAGCTAGGGCTATAACTATACGAAAAGATCGTATAGCGAGCGTTACTACGTAGGTTCCCTTAATTATTAAGCTCTCCTATAAATCCCCTCGAATATATAAGCGTGCTTTATATTATTCGAGATATCCGTCTTAGTCGAATTTATAGGTAAAAACCTACTTTAACGGAAAAGGTTTTAACTTCGCCTCTAAGCGCTTAATTTCCCTTTATATACGCTTCTTAATTAGCTTATTTACCTCCTTCTACGCGGCTTCCTTAAACCGTTTACATATCAGGTAGTTTATAAGCTCCCGCTAATACCTTAGTATAGCCTTTAGGTAATCACGATAAACTCTACCGTCGATTAAGGGCTTCGGTGACGTTATAGCCTCTCTTTTAGTATTTAAACGGGTATTTATTTTAGTATTAGCTACTCCGAGGATTATTAAATTAAAGGTTAGAAGCCCTTTTAGCCTATCCTAGCGCTCTTCTTATTAATTAAATAAGAAAAAGGCATAAGTTAAAGATATATCTAGCTCTACCTAATATATCCGTGGATTAATCCGAATAGTCTTTCCTTAAGCACGGCGATCGGTGATTCTTACACTAGTGCGCGTTACTTCCTTTACTAATATACTCTTTTTCCTTTAGTAGACGGTTACTTTAGGAGTTAGTCGGATAAATAGTCTAGATCCGGACACTATAGTACGGCTAATACTATAGTACGGGTTAGGGGTAGCTAATCCTTATACTATCGCCTATATACTCCTTTCTATAGCTAAAATCGTTAAAGTGTCCGTATTAAGCTTTAGTATATATAATCCTAGCGTATCGGTTACGGTATCTTCTTAGGTAGCCGCTCCGTTATCTTATTAGTCGGAAGAATTATTAATTAAGAGTTCCTCCAAAGACTACGGCTCTACGCTTATACCTAAAGATTCCTACTCTAAGGATTAGGTATTACGCGTAGGGTTTAAAGTCCTGTTATAGGCAGTTCGGGTGTATTAGGTATATCTAGTAATAGCGATAAAGCGTTTAACTTAGTCTTTACTACTTTTACCCCCGAGTTCGAACCCGTGGACTATACTTATTCTCTAAAAGGTACGCTAGTAATTAATCGACCCGGAGGGTAAGCCTATAGGATAAAGTCGTTATCTTTATCTTCTTATATTTTATAAGTTATAAGCTAGTTCCTTGCCTCGGGCTCCGGGATCTATTCTGCTTCTTTAAGCTATAGTTTCTAAAATAGCTACTCGTTAAACTTTATATTACGCGTTATAATAACCTTCTAAAGCTATAGAATCTATACTCGGTAAGTATTATAGGTAATATAACCTATAAGATACTTAATATATCCCCTTAGTTAAACCTTATATAGTTTCCTATTCATCCTAGCTTCCCTATTCCTTACTATTAGATAGGCGCGGTAGCTATAGGTATAAATACCACTCTAATTAGGGCGTAGGTCGACTATATACTCTTTTATTAGAATCGGTATATTCTTTCTAAACTATAAGTCGAGGATTTCTACTAGGGATTTTTATCCATATCGTTATAAGGGACTTATATTATATAATAACGCTACTGATCTAGTACTCTCTAGCTATTTATCTAGTAGAATTCCTGCTCCGTTAAGTATAGTATTAGACTTTATAATAATTAGTTAACTGGCTCTTTCGCTGCCTTTATTCGGTTTATAAGTATAGGGCGGTGTAATTTCTATATCGATCCCTTAACTACTCGCCTATAGCTAGGTTATTAAATCCCCTGCTATATGAATAATTAAGGGTTTATTATTACTACGTATCTTATAGATATATAATATAAACTACCGATTAACCTATTATTCGAAGGCTTATAGCGCGTTATAAACCGTAACGCTATTTTTCGAAACTAAAGGCAGTATATAGATCTAGCCGCTATATTCGTCCTTTATTATAAGAAGATATCGTATTCCGTTATAGCTCTTAGGTAGCTCTTAAAGATCCTAATAAATACGCTAAAACGGTTATAGGGAGCGGTGTTTTAACGTGTATCAAGATATAACTTAATATATTTAGGTTCGGGAGTATATCTTATAGTCTATCCGCTTAGTTCCCTTAATTAACACGTTTCTAGCGTTACGAACTAATACTTATAAAACGCTTAGTCTAAGATAGCCTACTCTTAAGTGCTATGACTATTCTTCTTCGACTCGCGGACGCGGAGAGTCGCGGGAAGGTCGGTAATATCAGTAAGCTTTTATTAGTCGATCGACTACTATAACTAGTATATATTAATAGTTATAATTAATCGGAATAATACTACGTAGTATCGGTTAGAATAACGAATACGAAGAAGAAGAAGATAATAATTAGCTTATACTAAAGGATAGTTATATTAAAGCGTCGAAGCAGCTTTAATAAGACTACGCTCTTCTCCGCTATTCTAAAGCATAATAAGTAGTTATATCCCGAATACTAGATTAGCAGGAAGTTACTAGTTACTACTACTACCCGGGCTTATAACTATCACACTTAAAAACGTACTACTACACTAAAAGAGAATTCTCTAATATATAGGTACTTCTTAAGGCATATATAGTTTAACACCTCTTATATCTGGGCTAAGCGTGAACGCGAAATACAACGTCGATATATTATCGTTCGTGAAGCAGTTAAACATAGTTTTAAGGCGGCCACATATATAAAAGTCTAGTTACTAGTCTTATTTCTTTCTTCTATATACCTAAGGCTGGATCGAGTCTGTGAATTTGAAAGCCGCCTAATCAGAGTATTCGCGAGGCACTCCTCTATCCCTTGGAACTGGCAGACTGGATCTGAGTCGCGTTTCGTAATAGTATCGAAATTATACCAAGGCAATTACGGTTCTCCTACGGGTTTCTAAACTTTGACTATCTTATAATAATATATCATTTGATAGGCGGAGAGCGGCAGGCTATAATGGACTTTATCTTACATCACGGTGCCCTTTAGACCGACTACTAATATACAAAGCACTACACGGAGTCATAATAACCAGGCGCACTGTTAATTCTGCTCGATTTAACTGGAGGTACATTGACTATGCCGAGCAATTAGGAGTCGGTCTATCAAAATACTAATACAGTGGACAGCGTATGTTATCGATTCTATATATTACTTCCCCCAGTTACAACTTGCTAACATGTCATTGTGTAACGTGTTCCAGGCTCGAGAATGAAACCTCGATGACTTTTGACTCGCTGTCAACAGTATCAAGCCAGTATGTGTCACTTGTGGCCTTTTGCTGCCACTAACACCATTGCATATCGCGATGAATCGTGTCAGGCTCGCGCGTTGAGTGTCCTTTGTCCCGGAATATAATGAGGACAGTTAAGACATACCTTTCTGATTGCAACTCTGGCAACTGCTATCTTTTCTTCTATTTCCTTGTCTTTTCTCCTTCTTGTGCTTCCTAGTTTACTTCAGATATCGGCAACCGCAAAGTAATAGGAGTAATGGTCATGGAGAGGGACAAAAATCAATATCGACCAGCGGTGGGTATTGGACTTATGGCGACCATGTTAGTTCACGGTAGAATATCACAACATCGCCAGAATGTTGATGCCCAAGGCTGTGCGTTCGTGTCTTTGCATCACAACGATGTCCCAACTGACAGGTCGAAGAAGCTTCCTGAAGGGCCAGAACACAATAGCTAATTCTTTCCAAGTTAAGCACCGATTCCCTGAAGCTATCAAGCCCCGTCCGATGTGTTTTGTGTGGAGGTAACATGAGCTCTGTTGTGTGGTTTCAGTCTCAGTTGCCATGGCTTCGCAGTGACCACTCAACAATAGCTAACGCTGGCCTCTGGAGCCAGTGACACCCGCCAGTCGGTAACACCAGGACGCACGAGGTCTTCGTAAGTTCGGTGATTCCGTCCCCGCCGGAGGTGAACAGGGAAGGGTAATTCAGCTATGTCTCGGTCCATCCGCTGCCCCGGCTGGCGTCGGCCTAGGCACCGCCTCTTCCAATCTTCACTCGTCTCCCGAAGAGGCCTATGCTGTTCTTCCGAGGATGCTGCGGAGTGCCGGTTCAAGCAGTAGATACGTCCAGCTTTTCTCGAGAACCTGGCCCGGGACAAATTTCCCTTCGGTGTTCAGTTTTTCTACCACAGGATACTGCGCCGTGTTTGTCTCAGAGACCTATGGATAGCATTCGGAGATGTAGGCGATATCGCTACATGGGAGGATCGGCTCTTTGGTTGGAGTGCTCCTCGCATTTGTGTGTACCTGTTGCCTTTCTTTCTTTTCTTCTCCTAAAACCATCGTTTCGTCCAGCTGTGGCTCTTGAGTCCTTGGTGGGATGCAGGCACTTGCAAAGGGCTTCATGTTGTAAATGACGTTCAGCACGATCCAAGTTCCCAACCTTGGCCCTGGGTTGGGAGGTGCCGTGGCGTCCGTCCTTGGTTGGCGGCCTCAATATTGTCTGAGGCCCACGGGGTTATCCGGGTCTCCTGCTCCTATTCATGCTAGAAACGCACCCAAGATGGTCAGACATGGTGCTTTACGAGCGATAGGCTTACCCGTAGTCTTTTCTCGGCCCTTTTCACAGAGACACAAAGGCAGGAGGGTCGAAGGGCATGTTGTTTGACCACTCCGACCTCGCCGGAAGCATGATGGTACGGTTAAGATGACGTCGCAGACAAGCCTTGGGGAACAACGCATAGGGATTTACGGCTTTAGTTATCTGGGCCCCGTGTTGATTTAGCTTCCCTCAGGGGTCGGACTGACTCTGGCATCGTAAACTATTGAGTACTGGTGAGTTGTCACGAGGCCAGTCTCCAGGGTACGACTTGGCCGTGGATAGCATGTTATGTATGTTGCGTAGGTTAGCTGACGCACACGTTGGCAGGGAAGCTGCTGGACCGGAACATCAGATTCGTAGATATGAACCCTAGCAGGACGGTGACCGTCCACGCATGCTACAACCCGGGGAGGCTTTTCTGGGCGGGAGCAGGTTGTCGCAGCGCTTACAACGTAGGCCGTTGGTAAGGTAGACAGCATCGGGCTTGAATAGGAACACCACCACTTGGTTGGGCGCTGCAGGAAGAGTAGCCGTAAACGGAGAGAGGCCATCAGAGGCCTGTACTCGGATTACAGACGTCGAGATCCACCTCCATGTTGGCACTCAGACTGAGGGGTTGAAGATGTTGGGAAGAACTTAACAAGGCTGATCCTTGCTTCCAGTCCGCTAGTCGAAGCTAAGGACGCGACTTGTCCCAAAGAAGACGTCTTGCTGGTTTTATACAAATGAGAGCAAGCAAGTTTCTCGGGGAACGAAGAGGAGGTGCTGCAGATGGTAGAAATGGGCTAGTGGCAAGATCATCCACTAATTACCGCAGAAAGACGCCGATCAGCTCCGTGGACCGAGGATGGATCTGCAAGGTAAGCGGGTGCCGAGCCGCGGAATCCATGTATAACTGCTTCGAACTCTGTAAGAATTCAAGGCTCTTTTGAACACGAGAGCACAGGGTAATTAAGGTAGGAGTGGGAGGAGTGGAGAGATTTGAAGTCGGGTCATACGGTATAAAGCAAGATGGACTCGGCTGTACAGTAACTCCGGCTCCGGGAGCCCACGTGATATGGCGTGACCATTCTGGACCAATGGCCAATGGGAAACAGCTTTCCCATAAACATATGTAACGCTCTCCCTCTCCGCAACGTCGGCGAGTCTCTTCAGCCACCATCCCCGCCCTTCATTTCAACCCCATGGGCCCGCACGACGGTGCAATGTACAACGTACCAATATTGGAAGTTCTTCCCCCTGCAGCTGCACTCGACTCCCCTGTCCAGCCCGTGCCATGGCCTAGCCATGTCCAGCACCCCAGACACGACATGGGCGAACGGCTAGCGAATCGCCTGCATGCCCAGAGACACACCGCGAAGCAGGCCAGTGTAAAATTTCCGCATGGTCACGCGCCCCCCTTTTACTGCCCTTATTATTAGGTACTGTCTGTGACTGACAGTTGGTTGTTCCATTGGAGCGATTCTCGTTGCATCTCTCGCTTCTCCTTTTTTTTTTTTTTCCTTTTCTCCGTCGGTTTCCGAGTTCGAGGTCTTGGGCAGACGCCACCATTTTTTTACGGACGCTATTCAAACATTCTCATTACATATTTCAGTTTCACGACAAAGCTCGAACTCGACTTTCTCGCCTGCACAATGTCTGTGCAACGAGGGTGGCTTTGACCTAGTACCGAGTACCAGCCTCGTCGTTGTCGAGGCTTATGGAGAGAACCGTTATGATACATGAACCCATGCTGCCAACTCATCATACCGACCATGTCGTTTAATTACGAAGTAGCAGTGGGTATTGGGGCGTTGAAGAAGCTAAGGATCTTGGGATCTTGGGATCGACGCAGTGGGCGCCTTCTCCACACCTTCTCCACATCCTAGCGAAACCAACGAGGCGGCTTGGCCTTGACTGGTTCTTCAACCGCTGAAACAAGAACAGGAGCCAGCAACAAGTGGGCTTGGAATCGGCGTGCACTTGCAACGTACGGACATGCCTCATTCGTACGAAACACAGCACGCACGCACACACAGCACCGCCTATGGAGGGCTAGGGCTGGCAAACACAGAGCCAGGACGACAGGGGTCGAGGACAAGGTGGCGGAGGGTGTTCGCTGTACGCCCTCAACTCTCTGTACGTCCCGTCTCAACCAAGATGCATACCGAGTAGGTAGGTAGGTTTTACCTACGAAGCAGGTAATATACGAAGCTATATTACCTGCTTCGTAGGTAGTACCGTACGGACACGTCCAAACATACAACTCCGCCTACCTTACCTAACATGTCGCCGGCATACCCTTCTCAGCCATCCGCCTATTCGGCGGTCAGGTATTAGGCTGCAACTACGAAGTATTACTCAGTACGACCTTACGCAGCATCTTTGCGGTCCATGATCCATGACGTCCGGACAACTGCACATTATTATACATTGACCAAGACAAACCAGAACCAGTCTTTATTGCAGGTCGGCTCGCTGACGGCCGATGTCTCCCCCCCCCCGCACTGCAAGGTGATCAATAAGGGATCTCATCTCAGCACGGTCCTAGGGGATCATACGTTGTACTGAGCGCACTGATGACAGTAGTTTACGATCCCTGACACCTCATTCCCAGTCAGATCTGGCGCCCACAAAACACCGACACTCGAAAACCCGGCCGAAAATGACAAATAATCATGGCAAACTCCGCTTCTATCCGTGAGTTTGCGCAACAACGCGGCAACGCCGTATATGGTAGGTGCATAAGGGTAAGGGGGCGCTCAGGAATCAGGATCGCTTCTCTACCTGCTTGGGACACGTACCAAGCCGCCTTGTCTCCCAGCCCGTCTTAGCTTCGAGGCGTTGTCGACGAATCGCGAGAAATGGATGACACATACGAAACAGACGACAATACCGGAAATCCGGATACCACGCTGCACCTTGCTTTTTCGGGACAGCCTCTTTCATTTTATTCTTCACTCTCTCAACATTTGTCCTTTTGGTGGAAGCGGCCCAATGCCACGGGATGCCACGGGAATCCACCTGCCTGGCCTCACATTCGTCCCCCTGACCGTTTCCTCCCCCCTGATTAGTCCACCTACATATGGTTGCAGCTTCCCCTCAAAATCCCCAGATCTTGGAGCGTGACCCAGGCCCCGGTCATGCGGAGCAAGGTGCATCCCTCCTAGCTAAGGAGCTTCCCATTCGTCTAGAGTCTCGATTCCTCCTCCGCCCTGTCACTCTTCCCTCCTCTTCCTCCTCTTCCTCCTCCCACCTAGGCTTATGCTGGCTTTCCCGACCGAACCACCGAACCCTAGGCGGGGGCCACGATGCGATGGGGAGGAGATCAGCGTGACCGACAGCGTGGTACCATCGTGTTTCCCCCCCTCTATCAGCTTGGCCCGGGGTTTCTCTCTGTCTTGCTTATCCAATATTACCCCATACGGGATGCCAACTCGTGCTGCACTCTCTCCTTCAAATAAAGTCTTCGTCGCTTCCAGGCCCTAGCCTTGATTCTTCAACGCCTTGGTCTTTGCTCTCTTCCCGGCTCGGTCCGATCCCGTTCCCTCAGTCGTCGGTTACGGAGTGCAAGCGATCACGTCTCACAGTCACGGACGACAGTCCCTCGCCCGGTTTCCTTGCCGCCAGCGACCCGCTCTACATCGCCATCGACATATTGCGGCCCCCCTGACGTTCTCAACTGCGAGACGAATTACATGGGAGTGCCGTCTTGCATCGGACGCAAGCATGATCATGTTGTCGTTGGCATAGCCGTTTCATCCTCTCCGGTCATCCTCGACTGCTCGACTCCTCGACTTCTCCACTCCCCCCCTGCCGTCTTGTTTAGCCTGGGTTCCTGAAGCTGAGGCTCAGCTCCCCTGCTCAAACAGTTACGACTAGAGCATCTCGTGCACATTCGTACCATGGTGGTCGACGTGGACTCCCTGAGGCGGGATGCGGGTTTTGAACCTTACCTGCCATGTCTTGAACCGAACGCGTCCTGCGGGGATGTCTTCAGCTACCAGACGGATCTGCCATCGCCTTTGTCTCTGCCGCCAGGCGATGACCCTCAAGAGAGAGAACAGTCAGAACATGAACATCCACAAGACGAGCGTGTTGTGCCCAACGATTCGACATACACCTTCCTGCCATGCTCACCGCCCGCTTCCCCCCCATCACCACCCCTGTCTCAGACGACTCCCGACATTTCGACCCCAGAGCCTGAAGCTTTTCCGTTCTCCCTCACCCTTGACGTGGGCGCTTCCGACTTCCACTTCGCCCCCGTGCCCTCATACCTCGTGCTCCCATCGTATGCCGCAAAACGTTACCGGGCCGCAAGCGACGTCGACGGCCCCAACACGGCATCCTTGAGCTGGAAGAAGCGCCGCCTGCGACACCAACTCATCACCAGCCGCCTCTCGCAACCCTTTTCGCTCCCAGCGACGCACATTATCAACCGCGAAGCCGTCGCCGCGGGGGACAAGCGGTTCATGAAGCTCGCCGCCTCCGCCTCCGCCAGCAAACGCTGCACGAGCGTCCAGAGCTCCATCATCCGCCGCGCCGCCCTCCTCAACAGCGTGAGGTCGCGCCTCCAGAACGAGCTGACCGAGCGAGGGGAGGTCCTCCTCACCGACGCCGCCGCGCAGACCACCATGCTGCATCGCGGCCAGCAGGCTGCCACGGGTGGGCGGTTCTTCAGCGTGGCGGCCATGCCGGGGCACGATGCGAGAGGAGGCGTTCGTCCGAGGGTCGTGCTGGTCCGTCCGTGTGGCGGCGGTGGTGGGCTGACAACGACGACGACGACGACGACGACGCCATCAGCTGGTGTGTGCCAGCAGCGGCTAGACGGGAGACCTGCGTCGCCCGCGCCGTCGGTGCTGAAGGTGGCGGAGAACGCGGCCAGGAGGGTATCCAAGTCGCCGCACCTGAGGCCCATGCGGTCCCCCGTCTTGGGCCCCGCCGATGCCGGCCCGGATGAGGTGGGCGATGACGAGATCGCCTTCCCGGGTGATGACAGCCGGTATACTTCGGGGGACGAGGACGAGTCTGGGGATGTGTACTGCGATTTCGCTGCCATCTTTGGCGGGCCGCCTGAAAGTGACTCGTCTGACGATGAATCCTACGAGGAGTGCCTGGATGAACTGGATGGAATATCATGGGTCGGTCGGTAAAGCATCTGAAAGTTTGGACAAAGGCATATGGGCGTTTCTTCTTTTGCTGGACTTCTTTTCTTTGTTACTTCATTCAAACAGCACATGGCGACCATAGGACTTTGCATGACACGGGGCGTTACTGAGTCCGGCCGGCGTGGGATGGACAGGTCTTGTATCTGTAATGGCATCAAAACGGTCATGGGAGCGTTGACATTCGAGGTGAAATAGTGAACACGATCAAACTCTGCATAATACCCAGAAAACCGCTTGATTTTGATTTCTGATACCAGATGTCTAGTCACACACCGGCTGACTGAGTGCCTGCCGTCCATTACTGATTCTACATGTCTAAATGTAGCTCCTGGCTAGGTCGTTGATCGTTGTACAGCGCAGTGGTCGTCCAAAATCACCGAGGATATTATGATTAGGTCTTGGTATGTACAAGAAATATCCGAAATGGGCAGTGTGCGTTGGTTGGCTGTATTCACATATCACGATGATGGGGAAGTGCCCTGCAGCTTACGCGCCCTATCTTTCGCGATATCACACATAGCCTACACCCAGGCACACCTGATTAGCATCACTGTGCACTAACCATTCGCTTCGGACGGGACCAAAGAAACACAAGGTGCCGGCAGCTCACCTGTATAGCAGCCCTCTCCTCCGCGGCAAAGTCCCCACGGGCAATGCGGTCCCGCATATCCTCCATGATCTCAGGCCTCCCGCGTCCGTTGACGAAGACAACGTACCGCAGCCCCGGGAACGCGTCCTCGTACTTGGCGTTCAGGGCCGCGAGCTCGGCGGCTTCGGCCTCGCTTCCCCCCGCGCGGAGGCGAGCCTGCTCGGCGGCGGATTGCGCGCTGTTGACTTTGGGGGCGCCCAGGCGCGGGTGGGAGCCCAGGATGTTGTGGAGGGCGGTGCGGTTCTTTGGGGTGGAGTCGGAGGCGAGGTCGGTGAGTAGGTCGTGGATGTTGTCTATGAGGTCCATGTAGGATTCGAATGTGGTGGATGCTAGCAAGGGAAGGACGAGGGTGTGGAGGGCTGGGGAGGGCTCGAAGAGGAGGTCCAGGGAGGCGGTTTGGTCGTTGGTTGGGAGGGATCGGAGGGTCGCGATGTTGGGGAGGGAAGCAGAGGACGCCATTGTTCGTTGGTCAGGTACGGAGGGTTCCCGGTCTATGGTCGATGTAGGTTAGATGGGAAGGATGCCAGATGGATGTTGGGTTCCTAGGGCATGTCAATGACAGATATCTATCGTCTCTGTCTCACGAAAACAAACGTCGTGATCTGTTCGGCGGGGGAGGGGGTCATCGCTCGGCTCCGGACAGGCGACTGATAAGATACGTGTAGATGGGCGGAACCTACCGAGGATGACGTACGAAGTACATGTAGTGTACGTACGATGTACCTGCAGCTTGCAGTGGCCATTCACCCATTAGCGTGACGCCACATTGTATTACGTAATATTTGGCTTTGGCAAAGAGATGTGGCTCGGGGTTTTCTGGTTGCTGGGTTGTGGCAGCTGGCAGCTGGCAAGGCTGACGACCTTGTTTTTCTTTCCTGCGCATCTTTGATGGAACACCCTACTGGCCTTTCCAAAGTCAATTCTCTCCAAGGCTCTCTGTGCTGCGATTTTCACTCCAATTTTGAGCTGGCCACTAGTTTTGGGAATTAGTGATAATGCTGTGTGGAAGTATGTCGATTTTTCTCTTTCTTTGTTAAGTCTGGCACCTTGCTAACGGCGTCAATGAAGTCTCGGGAGAAGCTCCCCAGGAGCCCGTCGCATCGAGAAAGTCGGGTAAGCATCATCCCAGCCTCTTTCCTGAACCATTTTGAACCCGTAGGCGAATCAATTGGACGAGTCTAATTATACCTGAAGGGGTCGTGTTTGAAAAACGCCTCATCGAGAAGTACATCGAGGAAAATGGCACCGAGCCCGGCACTGGCGAGGCCCTGACCACCGAAGACCTCCTCCCTCTGACACAGTCGCACATCGTCCGACCTCGGCCCCCGACCCTCACCTCCATCCCCGCCCTGCTAGCGACTTTCCAGAACGAATGGGACGCGCTGGCGCTCGAGACATATAACCTGAAGGAGCAGCTGGCCCGGACACGCGAGGAGCTGGCGACAGCGCTGTACCAGCACGACGCTGCCGTCCGCGTCATCGCCAGGCTGACGAAGGAGAGGAACGAGGCTCGAGAGGCGCTATCGAAGGTCACTGTCACAGGGGCGGCAGCCAATGGGGATGAGATGGCCATCGACTCGACCGAGACACTGCCGGCAGAGCTCGTCGAAAGGGTCGAGGCGAAACACCAGGAGTACGTTGATTGCGTTGTTGCGACAAAGCAGACCGATACTACATTTAATTTTCTTCTTCTTTTCTTTTGGAGTTGTCCCTACTGACGTCGTATGAAACTCCCATCTAGGTTGACGAAAACGCGCAAGAAGCGCCCGATCCCCGAAGGCTGGGCCACGTCGGACGACGTCGCCGCCCTCCAGACCACGGCGTCAACCGCCCTCCCGGTGCCCAACGCGTCTTGCCTTGCCCTCGAAGGAGGCTACGCCGCCGTTGGTGGGCCCGAAGGAAATGCGGCCGTATATTCCGTCGAGGCCGACAAGTTGGAGCGGGAGGTGGCGGTGAACGCACCCATCACGGACGCGATATGGACGAGCAGCAGACTCGTCTTCGCCACCACGCAAGGGAACGTCAAGATCTTCGAGAACGGTAGCGAGGTCGCGTCGGTTTCGGAGAATGCTGGTGCCGTCACTTCTCTTGCCCTGCACCCGCTGGGTGACCTGCTTGCGTTTGTCGGCGTTGACAAGAGCATCGTGTTCTACGACCTTGACACGCTGAAGCGCCTTAGCCGCACATACTGCGATGCCGGTGCGTATTCCACTCCCCACCCCCCCTTTTCCCTTGCTATATTAGTCTTCTCTTCTACGGTCGAACGCTACCACTGCGATTTTCATCGCGATAATGATTTGTGATGCTAACGCAAAGGCTGGGATTTTCAGCACTGACGACTTGCGCCTTCCACCCCGACGGACACATTTTCGCCGCAGGCACTACGACGGGCGAAGTCCGGCTCTTCATGACAGCCACGCTGGAACCCGCGACGTCGTTCTCGCTGGGCGCACCGATCCAGGCGATCACCTTCTCCGAGAACGGCTTCTGGCTGGCGGCGACGGCCAAGGGGCAGACGACGGTGACGATCTTCGATCTGCGCAAGGAGGGCGACGCGGCCAGGGCCAAGGTGCTGGAGACGGGCGGGTCGGTGCAGTCGCTGGCATGGGACTACACGGGCCAGTTCCTGGCGACGGCGGGGGCGAGCGGGATCACGGTGCAGCAGTACACCAAGAGCTCCAAGTCGTGGTCGGAGCCGTTCCGGAGTGCGGTGTCGGCGGTGGCGGTCAGATGGGGCGACAAGGCGAGACAGCTGGTGGCTGTCAACGGCGAGGGGTCGGTGTCGGTCCTGGGCGTCAAGTCAGAGTAGGGGGGTTTGGCCTAGTTGTGCCGTGGTCATTTCTTTTGAGATTATAACGACTAGGCAGACTTGGCAAAGTGAGGGCGGTCTTTGCAATATGAGAGAGGGAGTTGCTTAGTTGAAGGCGTTTTGGGATTTGATTGGGATAGTGGTTCCCCTGACCGACGTGCCCGTGCCTTGTATCATTACATAGACCATGCGCAAGGTGGTGGATGCCTGATCTTGAGATTGACGTTGTTGGCGGAGACCCAAGTTGGGCGTCACTGTATGGTATGTACTCGTCGAAAGCCTTCCCTTCGGAGCTGCGGCAGCCGAGCCGAACCATATTGGTGACTCCCCTGCTCTTCGTGAATCGGTGTCATGCAGTCGTACACCTAACGTGAGATGTATCTTCGCACAGGGCTTAACCTTAACTACGGTGTACCGAGTGCAAATGAGTTCCTTCGTACGACTTTTCGGAGAGGGTTTGGATGAGGTGGCAAATAGGTAGGGCTGGTGCCGGCATGCCGGAGATATCGGCTAATTATATTCATAAGGTAGTCATTGGCTGTATTTTGGCGACGACCGGATGTTACTAGAAAAGTCGCGAGTGAACATAGTACGGAGTACCTATGTACATAGGTACGGAAACAAAACGATCGTTGCGAAGATCATAAGGTGCTCAACGCTTCAACTCCGACGCACTGTGACTGAGGCGAGAAAACACCTGATAAATACTACTGTGCTGATTGCAGGAAGAGAGCAAAGGTGGCATTCAACGAAACAAGAATAGAGTTTCTGGGGACATTTGCACTGGACATACAACACAGTATGATGGATCACCAAGACAATGTACAGTGTATATGACACGGTGTACTTACACTGACCAGGAACCCGAATGATCACCTAAGCAAACTCAGGCAATGGATGATGGGGACAGGAACCTGGGACCCCGTCATTTGCACGGACATACATACGGACAATATGAACTGGATCACAGTATGAAGTGGGAACGGACGGGAATAGTACAACTTCACCCACCCATAACACAATCGAACACAACCACGCGCCTCGCAACTCGCAACTCGACTTTCCAATCCCGCCCAAATCATCTCCGCCACTCTTTTCTTCCTCTCTCGACATCTCTATCGCCCTCACTTCGTCTCACTTCGTCACTCCAGCATTCTGACTTCTGACCGCAAGGCCCCGACCTTGGACCGCCCAGGTGTCCCGTCTCCCACCACCAATCCTACGCCTTCTTTATCCTCCTGTCATACCTTTATTATACGTGCCCCGCCGAAGAGACCCGCGAGGCTGGCCTCCATTGGAGACGGTTCATAATTAGCATTAGCATCGACATCGTTGCGTTGTTTTCTTCTTTATTTTTATTCGGGGGGTTTTTTTTTCCTTTGTTCAGTCACTTGTTTTTTTTTTTTTTTTGACTTGGACACCACGAACCTGGCTCGGTTTTCATAACGGCAACACCTCTCTCATGTGGGTAAGTTTATTTCCGTTTTATCTTCTTGCCGCCCATTTCCCCGTCTTTGCTTGCCGCTCCTGCCTGCTCAAAAGCGGCCCTCGGTTCCTTTAGTCCCCTTTTTGCCGTTTAGCTTTAGGCCTACCTCCACAAAACCCGCTCTTGCCTCGCCTCTAACCATCTTTCGTCCACAGCGAATTTCTCTCGCCACCAACTTCCCCTAGATAATGAGCCTGGAACGCTCTTCCGTGGAGCTACCGCCCGAATTCTACGGCTCATTCGACGCGGCCGAGGTTGACGGCCCTTATCTTGAGCACGACTTCTATCTCGAGTCAAACGATTCCCTCGACGACCAGTCTGCTCTTTACGACTCCGAGACCGCCGAAGACGATTCCTTGTCCTTTGACGAAGATTCGCCTTCACACAGCTCCCAGTCTCCCTCTCCTTCTCCTTCTGCCTCTCCCTCTCCCTCCGTGGCCTCCGTGGACTCCGTGGCTGCCTTGGATCTTCCCGAATCCTTTCGCCAAATTCTCGAGCGTCAAACCGATTCAGCCCCGGACCTGTCCGATATTTTTGGCTGGGACTTGGGCGATGATAACGATAGCATAGGAGGGCAGCTCATGGATGAGATGGAGGCCGGGCTCCGGGATCAGAACCCTCACATACGACCCCGCCCCTTTCTCGAGCCGCCGCGACAGGACGATGCCTTCGTCCAAGGCTTCGACCAAATGCGTCAGTTGCTTCGCGGCGATCTAGGCGAACAGCCAAGAGCACAGAGTCGTGCTCGCCGTTCTCGTCCGGACTCTGAACCCAGGCTCTTCGTCTCCGACGATGACGATGACAACTCGCTTGACGACATCCTCGTCGACATGGAAATCTTCGCCGATAACCCGCCCCGGGCACCCCGTCCTTCGGCTCGTGGCCGGCGACACCCTGCTCCTTCCGGGGCGTCCGAAGTCATCGACCTCACCAACGAGCCAGACAGTCCGGTCCAGACGCACGCCCGGCCGCCGTTACCGAACCCTCGCCGTCAAAACTCCCAGCTACCAAGGGACCCGCCTGCCTTCTCCCGGAGCGACAGCAGCATCTTGGGCGGTCCCAATGTCATCGACCTGACCGACGACAGCCCCGACCCGCCTCGCTCCAACGGCGCTCATTCCGGCCCACCGAACCGCCCTGGTCGCGATGTTGACCTCATCTTCGTAAACCAGCGGCCCGCCGTCGGCCCGCGACTTCCACCACCGCCACAAACGCCACATAATCGTCCCTCGTCGTGGTCGCGGCACCCCCACGGCAGCCGCCTTCGGGACCGTGGGCGGAGGAGCCTGCTGGATGGCATCCGCCGCGAATTCGCCAACCACATCTCGCTCTTTGGCCTGCTGCGCCATGCCCAGGGCGAGGAAGACTTGGCCGGCATGATGGGCCCACACGCCTTCAACCCCATCGGGGAGGTCAACCTGGAGTACAACCACGGCGCCTTTGACCAGCGGCCTCCGTCGCCGAAACCTGCGCACGAAGTACCCCCTCCCGCTCGCGCTGGCTTTACCAGGGACGCCAAGGAGGAGGAAGCCGCCGTCTGCCCTGCATGTGGCGAGGAATTGGCGTACGAGCCTCCCGACTCTGAATCCCAGGCGTCCGAGTCGCAGCCCTCTCGAACGACCAAAACGGCCAGGAAACGCGCTCGTGGGGAGCATCATTTTTGGGCACTGAAAGAATGCGGTCACGTGAGTAAACCCCCCCCCCCCCTTTTCTGCCCCCCCTATAAACCTATAACCATTATTTCCTTTACGTGGCGTCATGAAACTAACTCATTGGGGGGAATAGGTATATTGTGCCGAATGTTTCGAAAACCGTCGACCCACCAACAAGCGACGAATTACCGGTTTCCGAAACGATAAGGATATGAAACCTATTTGTGCAGTGGACGGCTGCGATGCAGCCGTGAGCAACAAGGCTAGCTGGGTCGGCATCTACCTTTAACGACCGCCCAGACACGACTATGCTCGATTGTTTCTTTTGCCCTGTGGCCTCCTTCTCAGCAAGGGACGGATTATTGCATGTTTTCCAGTGGAAAGGATTAGGGATCTGATGAGGCTATATGAAGGCGTCGAGTCGCTGAACCAGAAGACCTGCGTTCTTCACACGGCGATCTTCTTGCGCAGAGCGGACGAGGGATCGGCAAGGAGAGGAGCGGACAGATGACCGGACAGAGGACCGGACAGAGGACCGGAATGGTCTAGGTATAATCGTTCAAGCTGTTTCTGCATTGCAAGGCGTTTGGGGCGTTGGCTGACCAACCCTACGGAACGGAACGGGGGACGGACTGGAGCTAGCGTAGGGGCCATGGACATGGATCGCATGATTACCCCTCCCCGTTGTTGCTTACAAGGTCTTGGTTTTAGACCTTGGTCTTTTGATTCCTGTTTAGGCTTCGGTTCTTTTACACTATTTGTGTCCACAGTATACCAGTGAAGAATCCTGGGCGCTTGCCGCCTATGCTATGAATTAAAGCACTTTATTGCTTTGTTGTCTTTACGTTCTGGGGCGTGGCCGTGCTACGAGGCGTCACGACATTGACAGGAATTCTTTTTGCTTCCTTACAACGTACCTCGTTTTCTTTCCCCTTTGTAGTCCCCAAAAGCCCTCTTCCAGATAAAAACGCCCCAAGGGGTATCGTCATGCAAAATCCCATTCCCGCTCCACTCAAAGGCTTTGTCGTGGCCCGCTACATGTAACGCCATGGTCATCTTATATCCAACGCTGATCTTTGTTCACGAAACAAAACGCTGCTCGGGGTCGTTCCCCCAAGCATTAACCAAATCCCACCAGAACAACCCCCCCCCCCCCCCCCCACAACACACACACAGATGACGCAAGCGCAGGTCGCGAGCTAGACCAAATCATCGTCCCAGTTCTCGCTGAATAGTGCCCTCATGTCTTGCGAAGAGACACAATTATCCCTGATGTCGTCTCCCAGCGGGTCGGCTTGGCCCCGCTTCGTCGACTGCGACGGTAGTTGTGGACTCTCCCGAGCCAGGGAATGTTGTGGGCCTCGGTTCTCCAGGTTTTCGTCGTCGTCCCAAGAGGCCTCTTGCATCGCGCGGAGATCTTCCGCGGGGAGGAGTGGGCTACAGGGCGTCCTAGATGTCTCTATCGGCATCGTCGTCCTCCGTTTCGTCGACGTCTCTGGTTTCGTTACTGAGGACGGCAAAGGGGGTGATACGGGCTGTCGGGGTGGTAGGCGAGCTGGCGGCTTGCGGTTACCCATGACAGTGGAGACCAATGGCTTGATGAGGCCGGGAGGCTTGGTTGCGTGTTTGGCTGCACTTTGTAGGTAGGCCGACTGGTTCCTTGGCGGGATACGGTTGGCGTGCTGTGGCCGTTCCAGGAACACATCGGAACAGGATAGCGGAACTCGAGGGCTTGGTCTCGGCTTCATGGTAGGTCTGGTCCTGGTCGGGGTCTCAATTTCCTCAAGATCTTGAGCAGAAAGCACGCAGTCCTGCGTGCAGAAAAACGGCATCATTTCGATAGACACTGCCTCGATAACTGTAGGTCGAGGGGCGCGGGTCGAAGGCTTGGCGTCTTCGGGGTGCTGATATATAGGGACTGAGATCTTGACAGGGTTATCCAGATTCGGTTTAACCACCGGTGCCTCAGGCTCGCTGAAGCCGGAATCATCCTCATTTGCGAGCAGTTCGCGCTGGAGTTGCGTGCCGGACGGGAAGAGGTCTTCGATGTCGGCGAGGTCAACCACAGCAGGCGGTCGGTGCCTAGCGTCTTCGTCGATCACGGGGCCAGACGCCTCGGAATCCTCGAGTATAGGTGATAGGCGCGATTTCTTCCTGGGCGGCGATCTCGACCGCAAACTGATCGGCTGCTTCTGCTTTGGCGGGAATTCCTTCGGCGGGGATTTCTTCAAAGGGAACGCCTTCGGCGACGTATGCTTCGGCGATATATGCTTCGGCGACAGCTTCTCTAGTGATTTGACCCCTGGCACTGGACTCGGTTTCGGGGTGGCCGGTGGGGTGCAGTTTCCTGAGGGTGTGCAATTGTCGACACTTGTGGCCTCGCGGGTGTCAGAGATCATGATAGGCGATGGTGGCTGAGGGGACGGTCGGCGCTCTGTTGGTAGCGATTCAATCCTGACACGATTTCGCACGGGGGTCCGTGTCACCGCGGACGGGGACACCGGCAGGGTATCCTTATCCTTATCCTCGCCCTCCGCCTCCTTGCATATGGCCACTTCCTCGTGCTGTGCATCTTCTTCGTCTCTGGCCCTCCTCTTTACAGTGGCATTGCCATTGAAAAACCCCGCCAGAGTGGGCTGGCTTGGTCGAGGCGGTGCGATCGGCACGCCGGCCTTGCGCTTAGCTTCCCGTTCTGCATCCTCCCTCGCCTTCTTCTTCTCGCGCAAGATCTTGGCCTTCCTCTGTTGTCTCTCCTTTTCCTTGTCTTCTTTCTCTCGTCGTTCTTTTTCTCTGAGATCGCGTCGGATCTCTTCTTGGAGTCGCCGCTCCCTCTCGCGCTGCTCGGCCCTGGACAGGCGGGGTCCCCGGGTTCGTTCGAGAAAGGCCTTCCGCGCCTGTTTTGTCGTCATGGGACGCCGCAGCTCCGGCGGCGGAGAAGCGGTACCTATGTGTCCGGGTCTATCGGGCACGAGGGTGAACTTGCACTGGTCTAGGGGCATGGCCGGGGGCGCGTGGCTTCATTCCAAGGGATCTAGCGAGAGACAGGGCATGAAATGGAAGTAGCAAAGATATCCAAGAAAGGTATAAGCCGTGTCAAAGGTCAGATGTAGAACCACACAGCTGGTGGGAAAAGAGTGGATGATTGCCAGACCGTGGTGTCAAGGGAATAGTATGAATAGAGAGATTGATGGGGGAGATGACGAACGGACGCGAAGGCCCCGCGCGATCACGTGATTTTGCTTGGATTATGGGATTGGCGCACAGCCACGCGGGGTGCTGTTTAGCCACAGGGTCTCACCAGCCACTAGTCGCGGGGTTGAAGTGTGCCAGAAAACAAAAACAAAAAACGAAGAGAGAAAAGAAAATAAAAAGAAAAAAAGAAAAAAAAAGTTCGAAGCAGTACCTAACCCATTTTTCTGCGACAACCCAGCGAAGGTCGACTTGATACTGAACTATTCCCCGGTACCTACCTACGTCCAGTATTTAACCTCCGTTTCACTCATTCTTCTATCAGACACCAAAGATCACAACAACATCACAACACCATGTCAAAGCGCACGGCGGAAACGGAAAGCGGCGACGGCCCTCTGAAGGCCGGCGAGCGCCCCGAAAAGATGGACATCGACGATAACGAGATGGGCGAGTTTGAGGACGAGTTCGAAGACGAGTTTGAGAGCGAGGACGAAATCATTGAAGCTGGTGTTGATGGTCGGCCAGACGCCGAGAGAGAAGCAGAGGAGAAGGCGGGTGGGTAACGACGTCCTTCCTCCATACTCCTCTTTTTTTTTTCCTTCTTTCAAGGGTGGACCGGCCTCTGTGCTAACTACGGACTTCATGTCTTTTTCAGGTGGTGCCATGGACGTCGATCAAGGGACTTTTATCGTGGGAAGAAGCAAATTGGAGCCTGGTCAGACTCTGGCTCCCGACCTGAGCACGTACCAGATGCTCCACAGCCTCAACACACCGTGGCCATGTCTCTCTTTCGACATCTTGCGCGACAACCTCGGCGACAACCGCAGCGTCTACCCTGCTACCATGTACACGGTCACGGGAACACAGGCCGATAGCAACCGGAGCGACGAGAACCAGTTGATGATTATGAAATTCAGTGGTCTGAGTCGGATGGAACGCCCAGACGACGAAGATGATGAGGAGGACGACGACGACGACGACGAGGAGTCGGATCCCATTCTCGAGACCAAGTCCATCCCCCTCGGGTCGACGACAAACCGCATCCGCGCGCACCAGATCCCTTCCCAGGACGCGGGCAGGCCGGCGACGACACTGACGGCGAGCATGACCGAGTCGTCCAACGTCTTCATCCACGACATCACGCCGCACCTCGCATCGTTCGACAACCCGGGGGCCATAGTGAGCGCGCAGCAGAACAAGCCGGCGTGCACGGTACGGGCGCACAAGACGGAGGGCTACGGCCTCGACTGGTCCCCGCTGGTCCCCGGCGGCAAGCTCCTGACGGGCGACAACGACGGGCTCATCTACGTGACGACGCGGACGGACGGCGGCGGGTTCGTGACGGACACGCGGGCGTTCCAGGGCCACACGGGCAGCGTGGAGGAGATCCAGTGGAGCCCGTCGGAGGCGTCGGTGTTCGCGTCGGCGTCGAGCGACGGCACGGTGCGCATCTGGGACGTGCGGAGCAAGAGCCGCAAGCCGGCGCTGACGGTCGAGGTGAGCAGGACGGACGTCAACGTGCTCTCGTGGTCCCGGCAGACGACGCACCTGCTCGCGTCGGGCGACGACGACGGCGTGCTGGCGGTGTGGGACCTGCGGCAGTGGAAGGGCGGCGCGGGACAGAAGGCGTCGCCGTCCCCGATTGCCAGCTTCGACTACCACAAGGAGCAGATCACGAGCGTGGAGTGGCACCCGACGGACGACAGCATTATTGCGGTGGCGGCGGGGGATAACACGGTGACGCTGTGGGATCTCGCGGTGGAGCTGGATGACGAGGAGAGCAAGGACACGGGTGGTGTTAAGGATGTGCCTCCTCAGCTTCTCTTCGTGCATTACCTTGCCAATGCCAAGGAGGTGCACTGGCATCCCCAGGTCACGGGCAGTCTGGTGGCGACGGGAGACGAGTTTAGCATCTTCCGGACCATTAGTGTTTAAATAAATCTTGAGGACGGAAGAGGAAGGAATGAAAGAAAGAAACAGATGGAGGGTTCTTCACGACACAGGGCCCCTATTGGATGGACGAAGGATCACCCGGGGATGGTATATGGCGAATCTCTTCCAGGCTTTTACTCGTGCGTTTTGATTTTCCTTTCGATGGGAATACCGATACTCATGATTGATGATTGGGATGGAATAGACTGCAAAAGCTCCTTGCACACATTGTTTGCTGGGTCAGATGGGTTGTGTTGTTATACGCAAGTCCTCAGAGATGCCGACTCTTGGTCATGGTCGGAAGTACCTATGTATACCTTGGGTAGGTAAGGTATTTAAGGAAAAGATCTCGACGTCCCGAATAGGTACCAGGTGGGGGTGTTCCTGCCACCAGGATCCAGGAACGTCATGACGAACAGTGAAACACCTCCTGTGGTCATGCGGGGGAGGGGTAACTTCACAGTGGTAATTCTAGGTGTATGTCACTGTATGAATACGGAGTACCTCATCAACCTCGTCTTCCCCCACCCCCCCATTTCTTTCTCTTTTCCCCCCCTACCAACAACCAGCCTGACTTGCAATTCCATGACTTACAATTTCATCAATGGGCAGTCTGAAAGAGGTCCGCTATTTTACCCCATCTGCGAAGATAGTCTGTAATTACTGCTTGTTGCTGCAGATACATCGAATCACGGGACGTTACGACGCGTCTTGGCTCCTCTTATTCTCTGTCCTGACGATGGGCACGATGAGACTCGACACATCCATCACCTGGATACCTTGATTATCCGGGACACCCATCTCCTGAATATCATCACCTTCGGATCCGCTCAATAATTCAAGAACCGCCAATATGGATTGACCTGACAACCCCTGCCCAGCGGTGATTGCAGGGCGCGCCGCGTAGGCGGCCTCTCGAATTCCCACCAGCTCGCCCCCCTTGGGCCCTTTCACTCCTTGTCTTGAGCCTCCACCCTTTTCAACCCTCCAGTCCACCCTACGCCATCCAGCCCCCAGTTTGGATGCAGTTTCAAAGTACATCCCCTGTTGGATTTCCAGCTGAGATGGTCACTAACGTCCTCTTAGGGTTCGGTGGCAAGCGCCGTTGTTCCATCGTGACGCGACGGTCAGTTATCTGCCTGTAACAACCTGGTGGGCCGTGTTCACCACATACTGACTCTAAGGTCAGGGACAATCTTCTATACCTCGTTCCCAAGAGTCAAAATGCATCCACCAGGAGTTGGAAGACGTTCGTGCCCGTGCCAACTCGGAACATACAACTCTTCCCAAGCGCCCGGTAGTTATATGATGTACACATAACGAGCCAGGATATCGTCCGGGATCCCCCGGCTTGTCTACCAACGGCCGGATCCTCTTCACGCGCGCCTAGAGAGCCTCCTACTACTTGCGAGGGCGGTAGTGGGACCTCTGATGGCTCTATTTTCCAAGGGAGCTAAGAGCTACGCGCAGTCTGTGTCTTGTCTCAGGTCCGGACTCCGGAGCAGATGATGTTGTCAGTTCCACCCCTGATGACCTTGGGTTGGTCACTAGTCCGGTGTTTGCTTCGGCCTCGTCACCAGTCGTCTTCCTCGCATGCCCACTGTCTCCTTCTCCGTTTCACCATTTCAACCTGTTTCCTTGGCCAGACCGACGGTCGACCTTGTCGCTTTTGTTGCAAGACAATTACTAGGCCACGGCCTTTGCTTACTTGCCATGTCTGGGACCTCTCGATTCTCCTTCGTGAGGACCTAGCGGCTCCATGCAATATCGAGTCTTCCATGTGTTAGCTGCGGGACTTACTACTGGGATGGCAGAAGCTGTTGTTAGTGTCCTCAACTTGCAGGAGGGCTTGATTCGAGGCCAACAACCGTCTCCATGACCTGGGTGTTTGTTGCGAGAGTGATACTAACCAGATCTGCGACTCAACCGCTCCGCTTTGTCCTAGTGTCTCGTATGGCTTGTTTCGACCCTGCAACTGCGCGCGTATACACACGTAGGCCACAAACCTGGACCTGAAATGAGATGATGATAACCCCTAGCACAAGATGCAGGAAATGTTCTCGACTATAAAGTCTATTGAGATACCCTCATGGCTGTCAACGCAATGGATCATTGTGATGTATTGCAAACCTCAAGAACCAGAAGACTCAACTTCCTCCCTCGCCATGTCATCCATCTACGACCTTGCATTCGGCATCGAGATCGAGCTGTCCGTCCTCGCCTCCAAGAAATACTCGACTTGGTCTGCTGTGGCCAAGGACATCAGCGCACGACTGTCCAAAAAGGGGCTTCGCAACCAAGTGTGCGATCAGCCAAGCCACCACTATCGCGTCTGGTCCATCGTTCAGGAAGTGACTATTCCTAGTCAACCGGCGAAGAATAAGTGTACGTCCCATCTTCTTTTGCTTTAGCCCAACTCCGTCCTATCCCCGTCCGTCGGTGCTCTTCCCCGGTGTCAGCTCAGCAGAAAGACAGTGTGGTCGAGGCTGATATCAAACTCGTTGGAACCGTCCTCGCAGGGGCTCTGGAGCTGGTGTCTCCCATCTTCACCCTCAGCTCGACATGGCTGGCCGACCTGGAGACCATCTTCACCGAAGTGGGAAGAGCCTTTAAGATCGAGGAATCCCCCCAGTGCAGCACGCATATCCACGTTTCCCGTCTCGACGGCCGTGACTTCACACCCGCCCAGCTCCGGTCTCTCGCGCAGGCGGCCCTCCTATACGAGCCCTATATCGACATCCTAATGCCCCCCGGACGGACTTCCGCGTTGTCGTCCTCGTCCTCGTCGTCGTCGTATTGGTGCCGCAGTAATCGGCAGAGCCCCGTCTTGGCTGCTGTTGCTTCGGCCGCTGTCACTGGGGCGCACCCTTCGCCATCATCTTCTTCGTCCTCCTTTTCGTCCCACTCCCCCGGTTCCCCTCTCGCGGCCTGTCTGGATCTTTTAGACGCCGCTGCCCCTCCAGCGAGACACCCGGACGATTCTGACCATCGTGGTGCCGTCGCCGCTATAGTGGAGACGATGTGTCTCTTCCCGGCCTCCAGCGCCTACGGGCGCGCCCACGGTCGAAAGAGGGACTTTGTCCACGGGAAGGTGTACAAGTGGAACTTGGAACGCCTGCTGGGCGACCACGCGGACGTGCCTCGGACCATTGAGTTTCGTCAGCCCCCTGGAAGCACGACTGCCGAGGACGCCATCGGCTGGGGCGTCCTGACCTTGAGTTTCGTCGCTGGAGCAATGGCCAGTGGCAGCGGTAGGGCTCCTCTTGTCCCCCGGGGGGAGGAGGCCTCTCTGTTTGAATTCTGGGAGCACTTACACCGTGGGGCGGATGTACTCGGACTGGATCCATTCTTGACTGAGTATCTACGGTCTTTCGTTAACCGGACGATGCCGGTATACTGAGCTTCTCTATCCTGGCTGGGCATCAAGGCTTCGACAACAAACCTGATTCGTTATGATAACGTCTTTATCTGAATTTCACCGGTGTACCGCAGAGCACAGATCGCGTCTGGATTCAAATGAAGAGGGGTGCTAGAAGACAGATGGGTGGACAAGAGATACATGTAGCACCCTGTCCGTAACCCGAGATATCTCACCCATGCGAGATGGTGTCACGGCTCTCTCCTCTTCCCTGATACAGGACCATCACTCGAAGTAAACAGCCAAAATAATAATGGGTATGGGTATTGCTGTAAGAAAACATCGCTTCAACATGTATTCGCTATTTTTCTTTTTTTTTCTTTTGCAATCCAGGCGACCGGTCCGCCCAAACTCCTTCCCAAGTTCAATACTCGCTTCGCCATGCGTGAGGTATATTAATTACACAGAAGAAACGACAAACGTCCTCCCAATGATGCCGTTCAAACGCCCCGTAGCAAAATGTCCGAACATGGTCTCGTCTTTCGCTGCCGCCTTCGATCACCTCACCTCCTATGCCTCGTCTCTCACCGTGCCGCATTTCTCGCAGACCAGCCGCTCCCGCCCGGCTATTTGTTTTCTCTTAAACCCCTTGCCCCCGCATTTGGAACACGCGGGTCCCTCCCCTTCGTCGCTCGTGCAGTCCATCGTCAGCCGGCTGACGACCGAGTCAAGCCGGCCCCGCTCCATGCCCTCGTCGTCCGGTCGCAAGCTGTCGTCTCCCCCTTCGTCTCCGCTTACCCGCGGACTCCGGCCCCGGGGCGAGACCCCAGACACCTCGCTCTCCGCTGCAGTCGCCGCGCGTAAACTCCCTTGAGCCACGCTCCTTCGCTTATTAGCCGCAAACGTGGTCTTCGTGGGAGTAAGAGTTGCACCTGTGGGGATCCAACATTCCATGTTAGCATATGATGGCTGTTGGTGCCTCAAGGAGAAAAAGAACTGACCGAAAGGACCTAAACTTCGCCACCGTGTGATGTTCCAGAAAGACTGGCCCCCCTGGCCCGAGTCCTCTGCCCCGGCCTCCTCCGCTGGCTGCAGCGAGAAGCTTGGTGTGGGTAGTTGGGCGGGCCCATCTTCCGCACGTGGCCCATCATCCGCGCGTTGCCCATCGTCTACACGACGCCCCTGCGCCATGCGAGGGCTGTTCACTGCCTTCGATGCAGGGCTCGACTGCGGCGGGTCAATCGACCGCGACCGAGGTGAGCCCGCATAAGGCATCTTTCGCGCTTCCGACGCCGCACTCGGCGCGCTGCGCGCGCTGGGTGCATTCGCAGCCAGGGTAGCTGACAGATGCGCGGTATGCGGAGTTTGGGGAGCTTGGGACGGCGGCTTGGTTGGGGATGGGGACCGCTCTCGATGCACCGAACCGCCGGCGCCGCTGATCAGGCTGTTGCGGTTGCTTTCGGCTCCTATGCCGTGGCGCCACGAGTTGATCCGGTCGGAGCTCATCTGCGGGGTCCCGCCTATGGTGGCACCCGGTGGGGGTGCACCCATCTGAAACTGGGAGAGAGAAGTTCGTCGGGAGTGTGGGTGGCTGCTGGCGCTGGTGCGGGTGATAATGCTACCGCTCCGCCCGATCGTACCGCTGCCTATGCTGATGATCTTCCTAGAGAAGCTCGAGCCGGTTTCCCAGTTTTCGTGCCGGCGCTTGGCATGAGCACAGTCCTGCCGGAATACCTTGATCGAGCCTGACCTGTCAGCTGTTACCAGGATGTTGCCGTTGGGATGCTTGCACTTTTCTAGGTAGTTAGAGGGCAGAGGTTCTCCGGATTCCTTCTTGTTCTGCATGCTCTGCTCCGGGCGCTGCTGCGAGCTTTCAGATAGCGCCGTTTGGCTCTTCGCTGCTGCCTGGGCCAGGGCTTCCTCGAGACTCATGAGTTTCACGGGTGGAGGGTTGCACAGGTCATAAATCGGGTCCCCGGAGGCGCTCAAAAGCTCCCGCGACTTGGTCGGCGCGAAGGCGGCCGCCGTGACCGAGTTGGAATGAGCATTGAAGAATTCGCACGGGATCTTCTCCAGGTCGGGCGTGTCCACGGACCAGATGAAGACCTTCTTGTCCTCGCTGCCGCAGACAATGTAACGAGCGTCATCGCTGAATTTGGCGTGGATCTGGCTACTAGTGTTCTCGTGGCCTTTCATTTTCGTCTCGATGCCTTTCCTGGACAGGTTATACATGCGGATGCGGGAGTCGTTGGAGGTGATGAGGACCTTGACATCCGCTTCGGGGCCATCCGGAGGGATGATGGCGGTCTTGATGCCGGTGATCTTGCTGCCCTTGGCATTCTTCCCGCGGGAGGAGCGAACAACCATCTGGGTCTGAAGCACAAGTCCGTTCGTGTCGTAGAAGAGACACGTGCCGTTGAGCACCCCGCCGATGGACGTCTTGCCGTCCGGGGAGAAGCCGACGGCGGTAATGATATGGGGAAGCTGGGCTGAGTAAGCGACGTTCTTGTCCGGAATGCTCCACAGGCGCAGTACAGCGTCGATGCAGCCGGCGAGGAAGAAACGGTCGTCGGCCGGGTGGAAGGCGATGGAGGTGACGTAGTCACTGTGCGTAAAAGTGCTAAGACAGTCCTGCTGGGTGACGTGCCAAAGGCGGACCGTCTTATCCATAGACGAGGAAAGCAGGAAATTGTTCTTGCTCCAGCTAAGGGCGAGAACCTCGCCGGTATGGACATCCCACTCGCGGATGGGCTGACTGTGGAACACGGGTGCGCTCAGCCGTTCATCGGAAGCGCCGCTGGCGGCCGCCTCTTCCTCTTCGTGGTGACGCCGTTCCTCGGGCGTCGAGAGGATGGCCCAAACCCGCACTATGCGATCCTTGCCGGCGGCGGCTAAATACCTGCCGTCGTTGCTGAATTCGGCGGCCCAGATCGAACCGTCGCTATAGGGTGGACTCCTGCCTGACGGAGCGTCGTCGACGCGTGCTTTCCCTTTGTCGTTCAATATCTCCGGCGGCGGGCGTGGCACGAGCAGCTCCTGAGCGAGGAACATCCGATTAAACTCGCGCACCCTCTTATGATGGGCGTGCGTCCTTATGTAGCGCGGGGGTTCTTTGTGGTGAGGGATGAAGCCGCCGGCGCCTACGGCGGAAGAGAAAACGCGGGCGTCGGTACCGTCCGGCCTCGAGCCCCCTAGTTCAGCAAGGTCGTCACCCAGCTCATCCTCCTTTTTTCGACCGCGCATGCTTAGGCGACTCAAGAACGATACCCCTTTCCTGGCCATGAGGTCATAAGATTAGCTCGTGGAATATAAACGGGTATTATGCCGGTTTTGGTGGCGCATGGTGTCATACTTCTTATCCCGGGAAGGGTCTGTCGGGGCAAGACCGACATTCTTCGTCGAGGTTTCGGAGACGAGCTGCGAACGGGAGTCGGGGGTGGGGCTCTCGGGGCGGCCGGGATATCGAAGACGAGGGGACGAGGCGTGCTCAGTGTTGGATCGCAAAAGTATCTGCTGCAGTGTAGAAGGGCGAGAGTTAGTATACACGGTGGGATTGGATTATCGAAGACGGATGTTAACTCTCCAGCGATGGGGACACGGACGTCTCGAGGGCAGGAGAGAAAAGAAGAAGAAAGAAGAAGCAAAGCGGGGGACGCGGATACGAGAGGAGAAGGAGAACAGACGCGTGACAAGGGGTCAATGTTCGCCGCGGCGACGGAGGGCGATGCTTTGACTGGGGTGACATCTTGGGAACCGGCGGCATCTCTGGAGAGGGGTCGAGTCGGTCTGATGGGTATCGGTCTGGGGGTGGAGGACGAGGCAGGAAGCGAGGAGGGTAGATATTCGGTACCTGAGACCCAGGGAGGTCAGCTTCGTCGCATTCAGAGGACGCGAGTGCTTGGCGTGAAGGCTATGCCAGCATGGACGCAGGTGCAGGTGCAGGTGCAGGTGCAGATAGATGGATGCACGCGCAAGGGCAGCTTAGACAAGCCCTAATTGCCGGAGCACTGGGCAATGGATCGCAGGTGTCTCACGTACCTTGCTCTTCGGTAGCGGCAGAGACAGGGTCCGTGTCGGTGTCGATAGGAGCGTGAGGAGCGGATCGTGGCGTCTGGCGGGTTGGGAAGGGCGTTGATGGTCCAGCAGAGTCGGATCGATGATGACGTTCACCGTGACGACGATCCCCGTCCGAATTGGTAACGGAGGCCGACATGGCCCATAGTGTGTGCAGGCAATCGAGCCAATTCGAGGATCAAGGAGGCGCAGTAGGACACAGGAGGGAACAGTGAAGTGAGAGGGCTGGAGACAGAAGAGCTGAACGCCAATCGGGTGCAGGTTCCGCCGGGGAGGCTGTGCTGGAAGAATGTCGAGGAAGCTCAAGGGATTATTAGTGAGCGGGAAAGACGGGAGACTGATGTCCACGAGCTGCACCAGAGAAGGTCGAGCCAGTCGAATGTAGGGTAGGTATGAGGTATGGCGTATGGCGTTCTAGAAGCAAGGATAGAATTTTTCCGGATACCGTCTCGAGGCCGAATGCAGGCAGCAGGGATACTGGGGGTCCTGGCTGGCCGAGGCATGCAACGTCATTAGGTCATTAGCCGTTAGGACATGCGGTCAGACCTCACCGCAGATCTAGTATTCTCCGGCCCTAACAAAAAGCGCCCTAATAGGACCCGATGACAGGGGTCTCCCTCGTGTTTGTCGGTGCCTAGCTGCGTGTCGTGTGTCTGTCTCTCTAACGCTTTCGACTGTTACCGACTGTCGGCCGGACCGCTGCGTTGGATCAATGTGAAGAAGGAACGAGAGAAGGTTCTGTGAGGTCTGAGGATACGAATAGGAACGAACAGGCGGACGGACGCCTTGGAAAAGAGTCGTGATCCTCAGTACCGAGACCTAGAAATACGAGGAGACCGAATTCGAACGAACTGCGAGGGAATAATAGGTAGTATGCCGTAACTATCGATATTGTCAATGTGCTGTAAACGAAAGAGAAAAGGCGAAGGAGGAGGATGGTGATATGGGGATGAATGGGTGATACGGGAGGAGGGATGGGTTGTCAGTACGATTACTTCATCATAAGGTACACTGGTGGGCCAGCCGATGAAGCAGGTAAAGGTACCGTACCTTGTAGTGTACGACGGACGGGTAGGACTAACCGTTTTCGGGCATAGCTAATCTTATCTACCTATCTAATCTAACCTAACCCACTCTTGCGAAATATTAGTCTACCTAAGGTACCTTAGTCATTATCCTTCGTCTTCCCCGCCCCCGCCATAACCCGGCGTCATCCAAGAAGCCCCGACTTTACCTGATCTAACCTGAATAATCTCGAAAATTACCCATCGACGAGCCCAAACAGTACCATCAAAAGAAACAGATCATCATATCCCGCTTCCCCTAGCTAGGGATAGGTCATCATGAAGCTCACACCGACAAAACCGTCCCAATTTATCGGCGAAGATGCCGTCACATTGACCCCCGAGGATTCGGAGGACATGGTATGCGGTTTTCCCCCCTTGCCTCCAAACGGCCTCCTTACTGGTTAGACGCGCTCCTGACCGTCGTGGGATCGCCAGTGGCACGCCTATAATCTCATCACGCCCGGCGATCTCGTCATGGCGCATGCCGTCCGAAAAGTCGTCCAGGAGACCAAGACTGGAAGCACCCAGTCAGAACGGGTCCACACCATCCTAGCCATCGCCGTCAAGTCAACCTTTTTCGACCCGTTGGTCGGTCAGCTACAAGTCAGCGGCATCGTCAAGTCAGAAAACCCGTTCGTCAGCCTCGGACAGCACCACACCCTCGACCTCGAGACCGGCCGCCCTTTCACCCTCAGCAAACCCAACGGCTGGGACTCGGTCGCCCGCGAGACGCTCTCCGAAGGGCTATCCGACGACAAGGAAGGCGCCATGGCCGCCATCGTCATGCAAGAGGGCATCGCCAACATCTGCCTCATCACACAGTTCCGGACCGTCCTCAAGCAGCGCATCGAGTCCGTCATCCCCAAGAAGCGCTCCGCCGCCTCCGACACCGCCGGCGGCATACGTCGCTTCTACGCCAAGACCCTGTCCACCCTCCTCCGCACCGTCAACTTCGACCAGCCGCGGCCCCTGCTCCTCGCGAGCCCGGGCTTCGTAGCCGCCGATTTCCGCACCTACATCGCCGAGGAGGGGCGCGACCGCTCCGACAAGAAGCTCTCCGCCCTCGCCAAGGACGCCATCGTCGTCCATACCCACTCGGGCCACGTCCACAGCCTGAACGAGGTGCTCAAGAGCCCCGAGATGGGTTCCAAGCTCAAGGACTTCAAGTTCACCAAGGAGACGCGTCTTATGGATGCCTTTTTCGACAGGTTGCGGCTCGAGGATGGTCGGGCCTGGTACGGCACGTCGGCGGTGACGAGAGCCGTCCAAGAGGGTGCTATCGGCCCGGGTGGGGGCGTCCTCATGATGAACAACTCCCTATTCCGCAGCTCTGACATTGCCACACGGAAGAAGTACGTTGCCCTGGTGGACAAGGTGAAAGCCGACGGCGGGGACGTCCGAATCTTGAGTAGTGATCACGAGAGCGGCCAGAGGCTCGACATGCTAGGAAGCATTGCTGCCATCTTGTCTTATCCCATATATGACCTGGACGAAGATGAAGTAGATCACCATGATCCTGGGGAGCAAAGTAGAGGGGACGAAGAGCTAGTCGTATGAGTTCGACGACACGTTTTTGGTTGTTGTACGTTCACTGTTGTTGAATTGACGGGAGCGTGCTTGCAGGGAGCGTTGATTCAGGAAATATATGATTGTATTGTGTACTAAACATTCTTCGCCATTGCTCACTCTGTGGTGCGAAGAATCTCTTATTGAGGCGGCTCGAACCCCTAGACTGGATACCAGGGGAGTCGACGGCCGCCTTCTAATAACCTCTGACGTTCGAATAGTCTATACGAATCCTTATATTATCGGTGTCTCTTCGAGTACGGTTAAAGTTAAAATCGAATAAAAATTCGAAGACCTTAGATATAGGACTCCTTTTACCTATATATAGGTTCGAAGGTAGTTTCTAGTCTATAATTATAGACTAACTACCGTCTTATTAATTTTAGTGGATAAGCTAATTCGGGTAAGATAGACCCGGACTAAATAGGATTCGGTTTTATCTTAATCATGGGCGACTCCTATACTGTATCTTTATTAAAGAAATAGGAAGGCGAGCCGGAGCCTTTAGTCTTCCTAGACTACCCCTCCGATATATTAGATCTACCTATTAACAAGACCTAGAGCGCTAGAGTTATCTGCCTAAGTGATAATATAAAAGGGTGCTTTTAGGTTATAGAGCGAGGTGCCGAAGGCATTATCGTTAAGATACCAGATAATATTAGTGCCCTATAAAGGATCGATAAAAAGTACCTAATATTAATAGAGCCTAGTAGTACGCTCTAAATTCCTTTATAAGAGCTATCGGGTTAAAGCGCTTAGAAGGTTATATACCCTTATTATAACCTTTTATATAAAGGCCCTTCTAACGGAACTATTACGTACCCTTAGGAGGTAATAGCTCCTAGGGGAATAATCTATTAAGGTTTATTAGCGTAAAAGGGCTATTAATATTATCGATAATAGAGCTACTCGAGATAGCTTAGAGGGTCTTAAGATTACCGGTATTTAGATCGATAACCTAAATTATTAAACCGGTAAGGCCTATACTATTAGCGTATTAGATCTTTTTCCGAAATATCGTTATATCGTTAAACCTATATAAATTATATATATAAGATAAAAGACGAAAAGAAAGTAAGAATAAATAAATAATAAAGATAGTTAGGAATAGGAGGTTAAGAGGTTAGTAACTCCCTAAGTTCGACTTATAAGATCTAGTTATTACCGGTATAAACGATATACCTAGCGGTAGCCGCTTTATCTAAGTAGGCTATCCCGCTAGTCTTATTAAGAAGCTCTATTATTTCTAGTTATTACTAGTTTAAGATAAGAGCCTTTTATAGTTATCCACGTTATAATAGGGCGAACGGCTTTACTCACTATTATATACTAGGATACCCGTGGTATTCGAGTAACGGCCCGGCGCTCTAAGACCTTTAAACGGATAACCGGGTTTTTAGTAAGAGGCAGACTCGAGCTTAAAAGATTATCCGTAAAATCCTAGACTAAGTATAATATTACCCGGATTAATATTAACTTACTAAAACTAGATAATATCGTTTATATTATTAGTGGATATCTATATTAGGAGGAGGGTAAGACCGTAAAGGACTAAAGAAGCTTAGGGTAACTTACTAGGTTTAATACCTAGTTAATCTTAGTTAGGTTAGTATAAGACAGAACTTAGTTATAATAGGGTTATTACTATCCTAAATACTATAAAGATTATATAATATAAGGTTAATCTAGTTAATATAGGCCTTTATACCCTTTAGGTCGAAGTAGCGGAGATATTAGTAGGATAATAGCGTAATAAAGGTAACGATATAGTTATAACCGCTTACTATAATAGCCTCCCGTAACTCCTTATGGAGTAGGGTATAGTTTTCGTTATCGCTATTACGGCCTCTACGATCTTTTACGCTAAGGTATTCCTAGTTTATAAAGAACTTAAAGTTAATACTACTCTTATAATAGATTATAAGAGCTAAATAGGCTCTGAATTTAAGTATTTACTAAAGTCTAAGAGTTTCTAAATAGTTAGCTTTCTATTATAATAAATTATAAAGATAAGTATATATATATATATATATATATATATATATATATATAGGGTAAGATAAATAATCACTTACTAATACTATTATATCTATATTCGGATATAAACCTAATAAGATTCTCGATAAACTAAGCCTAGTTCGCCCTTATAGAAGTAAGATCTAGGAAGATATCCTGCTAAGGACCGGGGTCGTTAAAGGTCTAGCCACCTAAAATAATAATAAGCTTTAGGTTAGGGTTTCTACTCTTAACGTTATTAATAGTTTTATAAATATTAGGATCGATACCGTTTATATTAGTGATCTAGAAATCGCTATTAATATATATAAAAGAAACGAATAGGTGGGTGAGTAGGTTAACGGGGATCTCGCCGGGACCTATTATGCTATAAGGCTTCTGTATATTCTAGGTTTCTTAGTAGCCGATAATAATATTCTACGAGTTTAAGGGAGGGGTATTAGGCTTAGGCTATTCGTAGTTAGACTAGTATCCAGGCTAGCAGAACTCGGTTATAGTACTATAGAACCCGAACTCGGAGTAGTACACGTTTAGGGGACACGTCGTACCGGGCGTCTCGGCGAATTCGCCGTACTCAGCCTTCGTATCGTAGTTACTCTGGTAATCCTCCCCGTAGTAGTTAGGACCGTAACCGCACCAGCCATCGGCGCCGCAGCAAGCCAGAAAGGAAAAGGGGGCGGGTGTACGTGTCCTAAATACATCTGCCACCTTCCAAGCGAGGATAGTGGGGCACCTCCAACCAATAGGAGAGCACCATACCGTGGCTCACGTGATAGAATGTGACAACTGTACATACTTCGCCCATGTGGCCTGTGTGAGATACCCCGAGGAGGATGGATCATGGAATAAGAGAATAAATGGCTGCGCTGCTATTATTACTAGGCAGAATTTGGAATAGATACGACCTTACTTGGGTATACAGCTCGGTCTCCCTTTACCGAGTCTACGCCGGATTCAATGGAGATATTTTGGCGACTAGTTTCCCGCGTAAAGAGCCCACATGCAAGCTCTGAGTGGCCCTTACCTAATCCCCACGTTAGAAGTCCCTATCTTATGTAAATTCCGGTGATGTCCCTCATGACGCAATCCGCGCTCCCCGCACCCCATAGGTACCTTATGCTCTAGGGACTATTAACTATATCTCCATCTCAGACCCTCAGCTTCGAACATTCTGGTACGAGACACAAAGCATTCACACACTCTCACTCACATTGCTCCACATTGTGCGCCATTTCGTCTCAACTATACTTCAACACCTAGAAAAGATGTCAGCTCTCAATCTTCAGTCTAAATTGACAATCAACAATGGCCTGGAGATCCCCATACTGGGGTTCGGCGTAAGTCTTTCCTCCGCCTCCCCTATCCCCTAGGAAAACTCTTCGATGACTGACAATTGACAATCCTGTAGCTCTGGAAGACGTGAGTTACCTCGTTATAGCGAGCCCCTACCAGCGTTCATGTAACGGGCAAGTCAATTTAGTGGCCTGGACAGCTAATATGAGCCATGGTGGTGTTCAGTCCTCCCGAGCAAGCAGAGGAAATCTGCACAGATGCTCTAAACGTCGGCTACCGTCATGTATGACAAACCACCTACTCTCGAGTCCTATAGGCTATCATGCGTGTCTAGACACTCACGAAACAAACAAACCAGCTCGACTCCGCCGCCGCCTACAAAAACGAAGCCGGCGCCGGCGCCGCCATCCGCCACGCGTCCCCGGGAATCCCCCGCTCGGAAATCTACTTCACCTCCAAGGTCCGCTACATCAACTATGACGACGCCAAGGCCCAGGTGACGCGCACCCTCGAGGAGACGGGCCTGGACTACGTCGACCTGATGCTCCTGCACTGCCCGTACGGGGGGTCCGCCAACCGCAAGGGCGCATGGAAAGCCCTCGTCGAGGCGCAGGAGGCCGGGCTCGTGCGGTCCATTGGCGTGAGCAACTACGGCGTGCACCATCTTGACGAGCTTGAGACGCATGTCCGCGAGCTGGAGGAAGAACGCGGCGGTGTCGGCCGCGGCGGGAAGATCAACGTCGTGCAGTATGAGATCCATCCCTGGTGCCCGCGCGACGACATCGTCCAGTGGTGTCGGCAGAGGGACGTCGTCGTGGAGGCCTACAGCCCGCTCGTCCGCGGCGAGAGGTGGGGGCAGGAACCGCTCAAGGAGCTGGCGGAGAAGCATGGCGTTACGGAGGCGCAGATTCTACTTCGTTGGAGCTTGCAGAAGGGCTATGTCCCGCTGCCGAAGAGTGTCCACCTGGAGCGAATCCGGAAGAACAGTGAAGTGTACGGGTTTAAGCTGTCCGAGGAGGACATGGAGTTGTTGAAGACGACGGAGTACAAGCCTGTTTGCTGGGATCCGACTGTGAGTCCGTTGGACAACTAGACGGAAGTGAAAGACCGAAGAAAAGGGACTTTTATTAGAATTGGCCGTCGACGATCGAATAAGGGGGAGTAGTCAGGCATGCATCCAAAGAACCGGCGATGAGATTCTCCCGACTTGTCATCGGTTCAATCCGCCTGGTAGCCTTACCAGCTGCGTCCGACACGTCTTGCATGATGCCCTTCACGACCCCCCGATACCGATGCCGAAGATCGTCTGGGTAGCCGGCAAGATCCGGTATAGTCCATTGATCGTAGCAAGCGCCATGCGTCTTGGAAGGAAAGTAAGCTCCGTGACGGCGTAGGAACAGGTAGCAGAGATAACAGAGGTATTTGGACGCGCCGACACAACGAGGGGCGAGCCAAGCAGCACAATCCACCAGGGCCCGCGTCATATCTTGGTGCACGGCGAGGTTCACCTCAGCATGAACGTGCGTCGACGCCGCCCAGGGTTGGTACGCCACTTCGACAGGCCCGGCCCGGTACGGCGGCAAGAAGACGAGTTCCGCATTCTTGAAGAGGAACGAGCGGGCGAGGGCCAAGTCGGCGAGGGTAAGCGGGATGCGGTAGTAGGCCGCGATCTTCTCCGTCTGCTGGAGGGTCTTGAAGCAGGCCTGCACCTGCACCGTGGGTCTCACGGAGCGCAGCCGACGGAGGTAGTCGGCCGTGGACGGGCGGATGCAGAAATCGTAGCAGGCGCGGATGAGGGCGCAGCGCCTCCCGTCCTCTCGTCCCGGCTCCTCGTCGGGCGGAGGAGGGTCCTCGAAGGATCGGAGCACAGACGCCAATGAAGAGAGGCTCGCTTCGATGTCGGACCTCTGCCGCCGCTCGTTGCGGGCGTAGAGAAACTCGGCGCGGTGGATGAGGTTGGAGAAATCGGCGTGGAGAGGCTTCTTGTGCGTCCGGGACAGGTAGGCTGGTTTCGTCCAGCGTGAAGAGCGGAGGCGGTTCAGGAGGCGTTGGCGGTGATGTTGGGCGACTTGCTGGACGAGGAGATCTACCACTTCATCTCTGGTGGTGCGCGTCAGGTCGGATAAGACGTCAAGGAGGGAGCGAAGAAAAGACTGCGAGGCAGAGTCGATGGCGTCTACTGAGGCGATGGTGATTCTCAATGTGGGTAGTAGTGGTGGTGGTGGTGGTGGTGCTGCTGCTGCTGCTCCGGCAGTTGGAGTAGTTGGGGGTAGGGCCGACGAAGACGGCTCCTGAACCGTGGCGGCAGCGACGGATTGTGCGCCCTCACCCACGGCCGCAAGATAGGAGATGTCATCTGCCAGCCTCTGCTCTTCCGACGGGGAGAGGCGGAAGTTGTGCTGAGGCGAGGGCGGGTGATTTGCGCTCCATTCGGTCAAGTCGAAGATTTGGCTGTCGAGGGGAACGGCGTTGGTGAGTTTTTCCAGCTCGACAACTCGCTTACGGAAGGCAGTTTCGGTGGGATCTATCCATATAGAGGACTCTGGAGATGCGGTGCGGGTGGGAAGGGCATGCTGCTGGCAAGGCGACATGGTTCTACTCCGTTCCGATGCCGGTACGGTAGAAAAGGTCGATGAGACAAACATATCCGTACTGAGTACCTCGTTCGGTAGCTGGGGGTGAATGAAACATGGTGCGAACAGGAGATAGCCTGTGCGTAAATCATCTTGGCTGATGTCGATTAGTCATGAGCAATGTCTTACATAATCACCCATTCCTCTCCAATTTTCCCCAACGTACTCGTCATCAACTTCCCTTTCTCGGGTTACAACCGCGAGTGACACTTCACCTCCTATGAGAGGCTGGCCTTTACCTTAGCTGTCGCCAGTCACGACATGATCTGGACGTACCTCCATGCTGAAGCTACGACAAGGGTTGTCATTCTCAACAACCACACGCCTTTGGTCGGTCACAGACCGTCAGACTCGCAGCGTAACACTGGTCTCCGCACACGGCAGAGGTTCCGCCTCCCTCTCTCGTCCTATCCGAGCCCCTTGTACATGTTACGAAGGGACATGTTCCAACCGAAGCGACCAAAGTACCTAAGGTACCTTGTAAGGTCTGGACGGAGACGAATACTTCCAGGTCCACGTCAGCTCGGCATGGGCATATATATACCGAAGCGTCGCATGTTCGCCGACATTTCCCCAGGTCGGTCAGCTGTCGTTCCGGGCGAAATGATCCAAATCCGAATGGGGTTCAATCGGCCGAATGACACAAGACCATAGACCCCTGTAAGATGACGTCAGAGGCACACAGAAGATGAGAGTCCACCGCATTTGCTTCGGGGTCTTCTGGTGTTTTTATTTGTATTTGTATTTTTATACTCTTGTTTTTCCATGTCTCTTCTCACACCCGTGACCCACAGAGACGGGTGAAATTGGGAACTGAACACAAAGATATCGAGGAACCACGTGTGCGACGCCCTTTTCTTTCATTTCCATTTGCTTTTGTTTATTTCTTTCAATTCCCAACGTCCCGTCTAATTTTCCCGCTTCACTGTATCATATGATTCATATCCGGCGCAATGTCGCCCCTGAGAGATACCAATTCCAATCCATACGGGACACTAAACCACTCCGTTCCGGCTCCGAGTAACGAGTCCAGCAATGACATTCGGCCAGTTGAAGAGCGGCCTCTGCTAGGCAGGAAACCAGAGCCTCGGACCTGGTGGCGGCGCAACATGTCGGCCCAAGTCCGCCGCGACTGGGCCGACACAGTGCTCTTAGCCTGCTACATCATCACCGGATTATTGGACAGCGCTTCCATCTCAACCTGGGGGGCTTTCGTGTCGATGCAGACAGGTACGTGTACGCGTGTACTAGGAGCAATTAAGCTCACAGCTAAGGACTGGTTCTTAAATAAGTCGGACGAAACGGTGTCGCGTGCGGCGTGCCCCCCTTGTCGTCCCCATCTACTTTAATTCCTCCGTCGCAAAACCCGATCGCAAACTAAAAGACTAACACATTTTTTTTTTCCCAGGAAACACGGTCTACCTAGGCCTGGGTCCCACAGCCGGAACAAACAGATGGAAGAAATCCGGCCTCTCCATCCTCTCCTTCTCCCTCGGCTCCTACCTCTTCAGCCGCCTCCACCGCGTCTTCCCCCCGACGCCGCGCACCCGATGGGTCCTTTGCCTCTCCTTCGCCCTGCAAGCCGTGCTGACTGCCGCCGCCGCCGCCATCGTTACCTGGGGCCCTTCCGACGACGCCGGCCCCGACGACGCGCCGTGGTACGTCCTGCTGCCGATCGGTCTCGTGGCCCTGCAGAGCTGCGGCCAGGCCGTGGCGAGCCGCGCGCTCAAGTACAACGCCCTGACCAGCGTTGTGCTGACGAGTATTTACTGCGACTTGTTCTCGGACGCGGACCTGTTCGCCGGGTTGAGGGCTAACGCGGAGCGGAACCGTCGGGCGGCGGCGCCGGTTTTGTTGCTCGTCGGGGCGCTGATGGGGGGTGTTTTGGCTAGTAGCCCTCTGGGGACCGCGGGGGCGTTGTGGACCGCTGTGGGTTTGAAGTCTATGATTGTTGTTTCTTGGTTCTTTTGGCCCGAGGAGATGTGAGATGTGAGCGATCCTGCTAGGCAAGACGTATTCTAGCGTTTTACGAAGTATATGGTTCTATTATCCGCCATCGAGACTAGAAGGCAGATCAACAGGTACCTTGTTAGATAGTGAAACGCATTGGGCGATTGTTCGTGATGGATAGTGACACGTGATCCTTCCAATCGACGGCTTATCGTTTACCCCAGTACGCGCGGCATCTAATCGTATCGATTACGTAATCTTCCCCTTGTGCCCCTCCATCTCTCGTCACGTCACGTCTTGATCCCCTTTCTGTTTTCTGTCCACAACGTGTTCCCTTGAAATGAGGAAGACGGCACAGATGAATCTTTCCGAAGAAAAGTCGACGCACCGACAGGTTATCTCTATAACATGGGATGATGAGATTATTGTCAGAGGTGACAAAAAACCAACATTTTCGAATGCAGTTCCGGCTGATCAGTGATTTCCTAGCTCATCAGGATACCGGGGATCCCCCAACGCCTGATGTAGGCATCGGCAACGCTTCTAATGGCGTAGTCGTCGAGTGGAGTATGCATGATCGTGTTCCAAGCCTTCACGACTCCCAACGCAAGCGGGCCACCATTCTCCCGAACCATAACAGCAAGGATCTCGACGGCATCCTTAATATCAGTCTCCCTACGCGCGGACCCGATTCGTTTTAGTTTCCGGGCGAGAGACCACTTCCATTGTGCAGCGTATATGATCAAGTTCTTCCCCTGCCAAAGCACGACGCCTTGTCCGACCGAATCGCGAAAAAGCCGCCGTTTAATGTCCCCCGGTGTGAAGAGATCCATTAGAGGGTTGATCCAATCTCCGATAAGTTCATACTGCTTCGCCACCGCTAGAATCGCTCTCTGGAACTTCTCCTTGATTTTATTGAGTTTACGGATGGCTGGGTCGATGATGTAGTCGATGTCGCGCGTTGACTGGCGGTGTCGGAATAATGTAACGGCCACGAATCCGCCGGCGCTCAGCAACTTGATCGGTGCTGCGGCGCGCAGGTTCTTCGATTTACTCATCTCCTTGTCCAAGGCATGGAGGGCTTCCAGTTGATGCAACGTCAGTGGCGAAAACAGACGAAAGAACGGGGGTGGATTTTCTTACCGTGCTCAAACTCCTTGGCGGAGAAAGCAGACTTACTGCTCGAAGAGCTTGAAGACATTACTGCTGATAGCTCGGGTTGTGGTGATGTCCTGAATGCCACCTGAAGCTACAGCCTACGACCAGCCGATGTGTCGCTACCATAGTATAAAGATATTATTTACGGAGTAGGTTTTTTTTAGGGCATTTCACGAACGAAAGTCTAACGCCTCCATGGAAAACGCCTGGGAGCCAAAGAGAAGCCACATCGAACGCCTGGTCTCCGTTTTGAAGCCATGCCGCCGAGTATTGGGCGGCTTTTTGCCGATAATACGGAGCACTGAGTTAGTAAGTTACTCTGTTCTTCCAAGATCGATTACACGCTTTCTCATCGCCATAAACGTTCGAGTCTAATTCGCTCGCCGCCAAATCATGGACATGATATGGTACAGTTTCCAGTCGGCGTGCAGCCGCGTGCTCGTACACGGTACATGGCGAGGACAGCGATGGACAAATGGGAAACCCTGACATGCCTGTTTGAGAAAAGAATCTTCAAGTTGTCGAAAATATCACGAGTTTTTTTTTCTAATATTATTAGACTCTTTTCTTCTAATATCTTCGGATTAGGGCCTCAAGGCCTCGTATATACCTATACGGATAGGAGAAGCTCCATAGAGCCCGACGCCCGGAACACTTGGGGTCCGTAGCAGCCAATAAGGTAACGGCTCTTGGGGGTTTTCGGTAGTTGCCAAGAACTCGGGTGGCAGTAGCACAGTGTGAAAACGTATGTCCTTACAGACTTCGCGAGTCCTATACCTAGGCATGTCCGCCAACGCAATTTCTCAGCATAGAACGATATTCCTATTTACGCCAGTGTTTACTATTCCCCATGAAGGTATAACGAGGATCCTGAAATGTATACTCTGGCCATTTGACTGCGACAAGTTTGGATCACTTAGCGCACTGTGTACACGTTTGAAGAATAAAGTTCTAACTTCGAAGCCTACTTTAGGTACTACCTTACCTAGGTACGTACATTGAGGTACCTACCTATACGATATAAGGTACGGAATGTACAGCAGCACAGGAGGGCGGTTCTGAAACACCAGAGGCCCACAGCGGCCCGACCACTAGCCCCAACGGGAGACATCACTAATCTGTGCTTGGACAGAGATTAATCTAGGGACTGACTCCCCGACATGTAAGTTGTCCCAGCGACATGTAAACCCACTTATAAATGGGGCTACCAAGATAAGATTACCGTACACAAGTATCCTATATAATCTGTATGTATAGCCCGAGTACCTAGAGATTTATACTTATTATATTTTAGACCGATAATATCGTTAATAATCAAATAAGCCCTGACCGGCTATATCGTTAATTAAACGAGCCAACCGACGATATTAATAATATCGCTAATTAACCAGGCTGACCTTCCCTACGTGATAATATAACGAGTATACCTAGAATTCTACTCGGGCTGTACATGTAAATTATGTGGGATTCTTATGTACGGTAATCTTATCTTGATAGCCCCATTTATAAGTGGGTTTACATGTCGCTGGGACAAAACTTACATGTCGGGGAGTCATTCCCTTAATCTAGGGCAACTTACCAAGAGGGCTGGCTCCCTATTATGTCGTCCCCGGTTTGCTAAGGACATGGGATCTTGGGTAACCGCCCTTAAGCCCGGCGACAACGTCACAACGTCACCGTCGCTTGTGAGAGAAGTGATGCATGGGGAGTAGTTAGAACTTCAGTGAACAATGAACATAGGCGCTCTCTGTTCGTCAATTACCCTTCAAGCTCAATGGACGAGAAGTTTGATTCTGTGGACCAGTCTGGAAAAAGTCTGGGTGCCACGTAATTATAATCCCGAGATACCTATCATGGGGCGTGAACCGGTCAAAACAGAGAAATGAAACAAGTAATAACGGCACGGACCTACCCGCCTTTCTCGTTTGGTGGATATCGATTCTAATAATGGTTATTTCCCCTCCCCTTGGCACCACGGATCCACGTGTCGATCGGTGTTTGTCTGGTGCTTCTCGGATCTTGGCCGATACCAATATTGACCCCTCCCCAGGCTCTCTCTCCCCTGGACCCTTTATCCGCGTGGGACCCCTCCTAGGATCGATTCTTTTCTCTGCCTGCCTATTCCGCGTCACTTGTGACTCTTGAACCATCTGTCTGTTGGCGGCCTCCCGGGTTGGCGTCTATATAACTATTCACTACAACGTACCCCCCGCCGTGTCACGCATCTTTATTCTTGGCTCAATCTTCTTCAGGTTTGCTTTCATCTTGAAATCCCTAAGAGATCAATCATCAGCCCTTGCCCAACTGTGGCCTGCAAAGCTTGTCCGATCTACAACCCCGCGCTACCCGCTTCTCGGAACTTTACGGAATCAAGCAACGATAATGTCTTTTTTCAAGAAGCTGACGAAGGAGTTCGAGGAGCTCAAAGCTTCTTTCAAAGACGACAAGGACGAGAAGAAAGAAGAAGCGAAGGAAGAAGCGAAGGAAGAGAAGAAGGAAGAGAAGGAGGAAGAGAAGCAGGAAGAGAAGCAGGAAGAGCAAGTTATTTCGCCGGAGAGCGGTGAGTAATTTCAATGTTCTGTCCGGGCCGTATTGCAAAATGCCCGGAATATCCTCACATGCATCTTTTGGAGCAAGTGATCCACTGACTCGATCCGGGGGTCGCCATTTCATGGCAACCTGCCCGCTAAACTTCAGGTACTCGCAGCGCCGATCCTCAAGCTCAGTATCAACATCCAGGCGGCCAGTACTTCCCCTCCGAAGCTGCTCACCCTCAGCACAACGCTCCCGGTGATAGTCAGGGCAGCGAACATGCCCCGACCCCGCCACCGGGGCCCGATTCGACTCGCTCTCCTCCTCCCGTACCCCCTGGATGGACCGTCCGCTGGAACGAAGAATACAAGGCTTGGTTCTACATCGACGAGTCTACCGGTCGATCTCAGTGGGACCCGCCTGCACCGCCTGGACCGCCTCCGCCCGGACCGCCTCCCTCCAACGATCCCCCCGTAGATGCGCCCGGCGGTGACGGCACGAGGTCGTTTGGTGGCCATGGTGCCGGCTACCCGGGGAGTCCTCCTGCCCCCTATCCCCAGCCAGGTTACGGCGGTCAGCCCAGTTATGGCCCGCCTGGCTATCCTCAGCCTGGCTATCCTCAGCCTGGCCATGGTCAGCCCGGTTATGGTCAACCCGGTTATGGTCAACCAGGATATCCTCAACAACCATACGGCCAACCAGGCTATGGCCAACCATATGGCCAGCCGGGATATGGCCAGCCAGGCTACGGTTCTCCTTCTCCAGGATATCCCTCCCCAGGCTACGGTTCTCCTTCTCCGGGCTATCCCTCCCCAGCCTACGGCTCCCCCGGATACGATCCATCGCGCGGTCCCTATCCCCAGGGCGGCGAAGAGAAGAAAAGCAGCAACAGCGGCATGCTCATGGGTGCAGCCGGCGGTCTAGCCGTCGGAGCCGTTGGCGGAGCTCTCATCGCCAACGCATTGAGTAAGTACAACCCCTTTGTGGCTCTCCAATAGAGTATACATGTAGGCACCTGTCCTAACCAAATACGAAATTCGCAGACGGCTCGGACGACTCGGACGACGAAGGTGCAGCCGCAGCCGCAGCCGCAGCCCCAGCTGCAGCTGAACCCCCGCCTGTTGCCCCCGCCGAGGATACGTTCGCCCCCGCCGAGGATACAGTTGCCCCCGCCGAGGATACATTGGCCCCCGCCGAGGATGAAGATACATTCGCGCCTCCGGCTGTTCTCCCCCCTACGGATGCAGACGGCGAGTTGGTTACCTCCAGCGACCGTGAAGAGGTGGCCGAGGCCCGCGCAGAGTACGAAGCGGCCCTTGCTGCGGCGGCTGACTCGGATGCCAGCAGCAGTGACCACGAGGCCGTCGAGGAGGCGCGGCAGGCGTATGAAGAGGCGTATGAGGAGGTCTATGGCGGTGATGATGATGGCGGTGATGATGGCGGTGATGATGGCGGCGATGATGAGTGATAATCTCGGGAGGAGTCGGATCAGGGAGGAGGGTATGCACCGCGATAAATGGCCCAGGCAATGGCTTTAACGACTAATCCACACGTTAATGATGTTATGATTATCACCCAGAGCACCTAGGTAGTCCTCAATATCTCTCATGTATGCCTCTTTCAGAGCTGAACTGCTGACTATAATGATTTGTTCAAATGTTACGACCAAGGAAGCACAGCTGAATGGCAAGCGGTTGAATTTTTTTACAATTAGACGATTATATCAGCGAAACTTTTCTCTAGCCATCCAACACTAACCATCTAAGTTCTAACGATTCTATACAGTAAGAGGTTAGAAGTTCTCGGACATAATCTCAGTAATATTGCTCCTCGCAAGGTTCTCCGTCTCGTCCAGAACCTGAACCATGCGCTCCCTCACAGCTTTAGTCTGAGGATCGTCGAGTTTAGCCTTGCCCAGATGCTCCACCGCCGCGCAGACGACCGATTCCATGAGACGGAGGGACAACGGGCCCGCCACCCCCTGCTGATAGAAAGCAGGCGTCTCATTGACCTCCAGCAGCCACGCACTCCCCTCCGTGTCGACGAGGAAGTCCAGCGCATACAGCTCAAAGCACTTGTCGAGGGTCGTGAACTTATCCGCCATGGTATGCGCGGCAGCGCGGAACAGCTCGGCCGAGATGCCGCAGATCTGGTCGAACACGTCGTTCTTCCAATCGCCGCCGCCGGGGAGCAGGTCGTCGGCGATGTTCCAAAAGTCCCGCATCGACTCCTTGCCGACAAAGTCCTCCTCGTCCTGCAGCGCCGTGTTGGTGAGCGACGACTTGAGGCTCGGGTTCTTCCAGGGCGGCTCGTAGTCCTCGCCCGCCAGCAGGGCGAGCATCTCCCGGTAGACGTGCACCTTGAGACGCCCCATGGAGAGGACGTAGGTCCGGATGTGCCATTTGCGCTTCTCCACCGGCGGCACGGAGACGATGTACCGCTGCGCGACGAACTCGCGCATCTGCGCGGATGGGATCCGCCCGTTCTCCTTGAAGACGTACTGAGGCTTCGGCGCCTTTCCGTTGTTCTTCTTCCCGTCGAGGCTCAGGCCTCCGGTGGCAGTGACGAGGACATCCAGACCGTCCAGGCCGGGGGTGGACAGGGACGGAGAGAACATGAACCCCTTGTCGTCATCCGCGTCCCCTGCGTCCATGTCGGGGTGGAGGGAGCACGAGGGTTTCGCAGCCACTTCGGCCCCCTCGGACTGTTCCTCCTCGATGACGGATAACGCCTCCGAGTCCTCGTCGTCAGTCTCGTACTCGGCCAACTCGAGATGGCTCGCCAGCTCTTCGATGGTGCTGAAGAGGCGGATGCCGGAGCCGGAATCGACCAGAGCAGGCTTGAGGATCCACCAGTCGCGCTCCGAGGCGGGCTTGCCGGCGTTCTCCTCCAGGGTATAGAGCAGCGTCAGATCGTCCGCGGCTGCCAGTGCGTCGTCGACGTATTCGGCATAGTCGAGGGATAGGCGCACCGTCATCGGAACATGGTCCTTCAGGATGCTGTCGGGCCTCTTGGCGGTCCAGTATTCCACGACTTGGGAGAGGTAGTCCTTCCGGGCCACGGCATCGCTGTTGGGGTACGCGTTGATGAGTCCGTTGGCGGTGTTCAGGATGGCGAACCGGCGGTTGAGGGTTTGCCCGTCGCAGACCTGGAGGACGGTTGCATCGGCCGACCTGGGGAGGTCTTCGGCGTCGTCGACGAAGGTGGCATCCGGCACATGCCGTTTAATGTACGACTTGAGGTGCTCGTCCAGCCAAGGACAGGCGCCTTCTACGAACACGTGCATTGCGTCTTGGAATTCCGAATTGTACCGAAAATTCAAGCTGATCCCTTTCTTTTCCCTTCTCGTCTGCTTCTTCTCCTTTCAACCAGAGTCGCGCCCTGGTTCTGGAGGGAGGCCTGCTTGTGGAGGGATGGCGGCAAGTTGCATGGATCTGTTTAAGCGGCGTGCCATATGGCTGGTAACTTCAACGACGTCGGCGAAGGTGTCACTGGTAAGGACTCAAGGAGAACTGTGTAGTCAGGGGGCCTAGAGGATGCTCTAGGAAAGAGGGGAGAAGCGAGAGGAAATACCGTCAACGTCTTTTGGGGCTTTTTATGAACGTTGGCTTGGACGCAGAGAATCTTGGATCGATCGGTCGTGTGTAAGTGAACATCGCACAGAGAGGCCCGGCCGGGCCAAGGAACCATGCCAAGGGGGATGCCGGGCCATTCATTACCTAAAACCCGCTGAGTGGGCATCGCGAAAACTGACTCTTTGTCGTCTCTATTGGACCTTTTTGGTTTCATAAACGTAATTCCTCCCAAATGAATCCCGAGGCATAATACAGATCCCACTCGCTCAAGACGGACATGAACCTGAATGTGTTGTTGTTACATAACCGGGATCCACGGTGACCCCTGAACCGGTGGCATGCCGGCTGGAGCTGGACTTGTCGGGCTGACCGCCGTTCATTCTGGCGTGATTTTTGAGGGAGTTCTTTGGGGCCCGCCTCCTTTTTTTTTTTTTTTTTTTTCCCTTCTGCACGGCCGCGCCTTACTACGTTAGGCTAGGTGCGTGCTCGAAAGCATCAACCTCAGAGTCTAAGACGGCTGCCCACAACCTCAAGGTATCAACGCCCATGCCAGGAAAGTGCCCTCTGAGAATGGTTTGTCCACGAGGCCAGCCAGAGCCGTTCATGTTGTGTGCGAGGTTTGATCACGCACCGCCGGTACGGACCCCGGGCCCCGGCCCCCGCCGCCGTCCATGACTCGGAGATTACTGTGCCGAGATCGAGATCAGTCGGCGCATTTCATCCCAATTGCCGATGCATGCACAGAGTGTACGTACACTGAAAGGGAAGCATGCTTCCGACACGACGTTGAGAAATATACCGCACAGAAAGCTGGCATTGAATGTTCAGATTAGTCCCCTACTTTAGTTATCAATATATCAAGTGGTTCCTTTTGGAAAGCGTACATGTACTCTTTGGACTCTGGGATTTCTGCGATTTTCTACGTACCTACCTTATGAAGCGCCGAGAGAAATGGCGTGTACTTTCCAGGTGGCTTGGTACACCTATCGTACGTAATCTCATTGGTCCCACCGATGACTAAGAACTTGACCCCTTTCGGAGACACCGCCCGGGACGTTTGCGCCATTGAGCCGACCAGGGCAGGAATCATCCCCTTCGTCTTCGTTCCCCTACGATCTGCAATCTCCTGTCTCATCTTTGGGAGAGCCACATTGCTCAATGCCCATACCACGTGCCTCTTTCTTTCCCTTATTCCCCTTCTTTCCCCTTTCCTATTCACGCGTGATGCATTCGTAAACCAACAACGCCAACCGCATTTCCTTCTCTTCAGCACCCAACGGACTTCCCGGCTGTCCCTCTAGCCCCGATGCATTTATCATAGCACAAGCTGCGCTTCAAGAGCGTTACGCTCACTCCACCGCAAGCCTCTGGCCTCGTCCCTGTGTCGCCGTCGACGAAATAATAATAATCAAAATATGAGGCCCCGTGGCATCACCTTCGCCCTCACGGTCGCCGCGGCCCTCCTCCTCGTCTTCTGGACCGTCACCCGAATCCGCACCTTCACGAGTCTCTTCGTCGCTCACTCCGGCATCGTCTTGACCCAGGACCAGGTCGCCAGCAGCCACAACGCGTCGCAACCGCAACCCCGGACCCGCGCCATTCCCAAGATCACCCACCAGATCTTCCACAACTGGAATGATAAAGGCAACGACACCTTGCCCGCCGACTGGGCCGTCTTGCGCCAGACCTGCATTGACCTGCATAGCGACGACGACGACGAGTGGCAACATATGCTCTGGACGCAGGCCAAGTCTCACGACTTTGTCGCGACCAACTTCCCCTCTTTCCTCGCCATCTACGACAATTACCGCTACCCGGTTCAGCGCGTCGACGCCCTGCGGTACCTCCTCCTGTACCACTATGGCGGAATCTACCTCGATCTCGACAACGTAATGCTCCCTCTTCTCTCCCATCATGCTGGAAAAAAACAAAAGAAAAAAAAAGACGTTCTGACATTTCCTAACAGGGCTGCCTCCGCGACCTCGAACCCTTGCTGTACTACCCGGCCTGGACAACCGAGTTCCTCAGCGGCGGTCCACTGAACAACAACCTCCTCGGCTCCAGCGCGAAGCACCCGTTCTTCGGGATCCTGGTGTCCGCGCTCGAATACTACGGCCCCAACGATTACTTCATGCCTTACATCACCGTCTCGTACACCACTGGTCAATGGTTTGAGACGATCGCGTGGGAGCGCTACCACCAGACCGCCCAGGGACAAGCCGAGCCTCTCTATCGCATCTTGGTGGACAACGAGCCCACGCCCCCGTCTGCGCCGCAGGGCCCCCACGGTCCTGTGGTGTTCTTCAGCACGGGTCGAGGCGGGACCTGGAATCAGTGGGACAACTTCCTGTTTGCCTGGACGGGAGCTCAATACTTGCTTATTGCTGTCCTCGTCGCGGCGGTGGTGCGCTTGCTTTGGTGGCGTGGCCGGCGCACGAGTGTGGCGCGGAGGGGGAGGTACGACTTGTACAATACCTTCATGGGAAAACGATAGCAGCGGTGTCGAGGTAGAACGGGTAAATTGAAGTGCCTGACCGCTGGTCCTGAGTGACGTGCGTTTCTAAAGTCTGTCATGTCTCACTACCGTGGACGGCCCACTAGCCCAACCTGAAAGAAATACTTGGCCGGAATGTTGTAATTAATTCTTGAACGATTCTTACAACACGGGCGCGAGCTGAATCTCCTTGCTTTCTACATTCGTCCCGTCGACTCGCAGCGCGTACAGTGTTTAACCAACCTCGATTCTCCGGCACCAATCCCGCCCACGCGAGACTTGCCAGTTACATAACCGGACCTCCATGAAGATGCTCAGGAAGCCTGCGATGCAAATGCCTCCGCTATCACTTACACTGGTGGCGCTAAGGCTGAACTCGCGATCCTCGGCCGGAACCTCGTCCAGAATCTCGGCGAACGTGTTCACGTACACGGCGCCGCCCAACAAACCTTCCCAGAAAATAAGGATAAACACGATATACACGGACGGGATGAAGTCGAACATGGCATGGAGGGCGAGGAGGACTAAGTTGCCGACCTGCAAGAGGGACGGCAGGTACAAGTTATGAATGCGCACCCACGGGATGGACGAGCGGGAAATGAAGACGCCCAGCTGGTAGAGGAAGCCGTACATGGGGTAAAACTCGCGGAACTCCTTGAACGGGGTGCCATCGAGCGGGAAGAGCAGCGTAGGGGTGACGCCCTGGTTGATGGTGTACTCGGCGATATACACCAGCAGCAGGGGCAGCATGTAAGGGATGAACAGCTTCCCCGCACGGCGAAGGTTGGCACGAATCGAGGTATTCCGCGGCACCGCCGGCTGCTCACGGTGAGCGGAATACGCCACCGCAGTGGACGAGGGACCGGGCGCGAGGAGGGCGGCCGACGCAGCGCTCTGGGGTAAATCGTCCACGTCCTGGTCGTCGAGATCCCGCTCCGGCACGGCGGTGTACTCCGTCAGCTTGGTACTCTGGCGCAACGGGCCCCGCGGCAGGACGACGAAGAAGCTGACGAGCATGACGGCGGGGAGACAGGCGCTGAAGAGGAGGCCGTCGCGGACGCTGAACCCCCACCAGTCGGTCATGACGACGTAGAGGCCGGCCCCCACGAGACCGGCGGCGCCGGTACCGCCGCCCCAGCCCGCCAGGCTCAGGGGGCCGTAGTAGTGGGTCAGGCCGAGGAAGCTGAGCTCGCCGCCGCCGGAGCTCAACGAGGCGAGGACGACGCCGACCATCTTGACGGCGACGGACTGGGACGGCGGGGTGAGGGCGAGGAGGAGCATGCCGGAGGTCGAGAGGGCGATCATGACGAGCACGCGTATGGAGTAGGGGACTCGGTGGATGAAGTAGGGAGCGACGAGTTTGGTGACGAAGGCGGGCATGACGTCGGCGAGGAGGACGACGCCCTTGGGGACGGAGGACCCGACGAGGTCTTGCGCAGCGGAGAGGATGATCACGTAGAGGACATTGTTGATCAGGCCTGTGGAGCGACTGGTTAGTTTGAAGCTTTTTCGGAGGGTCCGAATGAGGAGTCGAGGAGAGAAAGAAGCCATAAGAGAAGGCACATACCAAGCAGCCAAAAGGCAACGATAACGTGGGTGTCAGCATGGCGTAGGAGAGCCGACAGGCGGGCGCGATAAAGTGCCCACGACGAGGAAGGGGACCCAGGCATGGGAAGCAAGCCGGACGAGGAAGGAGAAGGAAACCTGCCGCCTATCGCAGAGGGTGGGCGGGAGGGCGACATGGCCTTCAAGAACGGTGGATTTTGCGCCGAGGCATCAAGAAAGGAAGGGAGTTCGTTCGGTCGTTACGTTGTATGGTGTCTGTCTGACTGGTGAAGTTGCGTCACGAGATTAATGGTCAGTCCCAGTAACCTACATTTGGGGACCAGATAGGAATATAAGGAAGTATGGAGTACTTTGTGCCTCGGGTGAGCTGTTCCGATTCGTCAGGCTATAGTAGTAGCGTCTTACCGTCGAGTAAAAACGCCTTAATATTAAATAATAACGCCTTACGTTATACAGGCGCGATCTCGCGGCCTAGGAGCAGACGGCTACTACTTTCGAGTAGATGGCTACTCTTAACCTGGCCTAGGCTTAGGCCTAGGAAGACTTACCTACGCCCTTAGGGTCTGCCTTAGCCCCCGCGGGGGTTAGCTTTATAGGTAACGATATATTTAGCGACGGTAGTGGCTCTGCGTAACCTTAAGGCTCGCTATCGGGGGTTATAATACCGTAAGGTCTATAGGGTCCGCTAGACCCTTACGAAGTGCCCGACGATAATGATATAGTACCGGCCTTATTAGTGAAGAAGGGGAAAAAGGCTCTAACGCCCTTAACTCCTTTATTAGGGAAGAAGAAGAAGAAGTAGAAGGCGAAGACGCCTCTATCTCTTCGGCCTTCGATACTATCCGCGGGTAATAGGTAAGAGGGGGGAATAGCGGCTACTACCACAGGGTAGAGCCAGGTATATATAGAGGGTAATAGTAACGAGGTGGCTAAGCAGGAGCCTACCCCTTTAGACGATGAGTTAGTGGAGTTTAAGGACGCCCTGAAGGGGCCGTGATAGTATAGGTGGAGGAACGGTTATTTCTTTTTTAGGTTTTTTACTAGCCTTCGGGTTAGGTTTTTCCTTTTTTTTTTTAACCAGCTTTAGGGTATTCCTATCATAACCCTAACAGTCTCTAACCATACTTCTATTATAATATAATCGCGTCTCTATTATAACGGTTAATTAAGGGAATAGTAGAAGGAAATAGACTTTAAAGGCGATAAGCCGTTATACCGAAGGAAGAGGAACGGGGATTAGGGCATTATACCCGAAAAGGGATAGAGGTCGGGAGTAAAACGCTTAAAAGGAAGAATAGAGATTAAGAGTAAAAGCTTAAAAGGAAGAAAATAATAACTAAGGCGATAATGCCTATATAGTCCCCGTCTAGGTTAAGGGGGGGTCCCTTTATAAGAATTTATCTCCACGGCCTATTAAAGGGTTTTAGTTAATATAGCCGATACGTCGACTCTTATCTGTATTAGGTCCCCTACGGAGATAGTATGTAAACCTATTTAGTTCCTAATAAGTCTCGTTATCTGTAAAGAGGGGGAAAGGTAGAATAACGTCCTTACGTCGTGTCTATAAAGTCTTCTATAGAAATAGTGTATAGACCTATTTAGTTCCCTAATAGTCTCGCTATAAAGTGCCACCTATAAGGAGGGAGGGATATATAATAATACCCTTACGTTATCTTTATATGGTTCCTATTAGGGATAATATATAACTCTATATAGTTCCCCAAGACGGAGAGCCTTATCCTAAAATAATTATTAATAAGTTTATCGGGTATATTCCGCTTCGGCTCCTAGGTATTCTCCTTATCGCTATAGCTGGTCTATTTAATTAGGTACTAGCGCCGTTAGCCCTGATATTAATAGTCTAGGATAGCCTCGACCTTATATTCTTCCGAGTCTGGTTCGACGTCGACTATAGGTGGTTCCGGTTATAATCCGTCGCGGGACCTCTATAGTTCTAGCAGGGAAACGGGGAAAACGTTATAAATTCTTATACTCTTTAGCAGTTCCAACTAGTAGGTAAGGCTATATATACTAACGATTTTGGTTACCTTATATAGCCCGATAAACTTATCGCTAAGCTTTTTAGATAGCCTCTTCTATCGGATATTTTTCGTGGATAATAAAACGTACTCGTCCACTTTAAAGGAATATTAGGTACGACCGTTATTATAATACCGTTCGTAGGAAGCCTACGCTCTTTTAATAAGGTCCAAAATAGACCGGCGCTAGGCTATAAGGTACTCCGTACGGCGCTCGGCTTTAGCGGTATAAACCTCGCCTACCCTTAGAAGCTATACTTTATTAGGGCCTCGGGGGTTATAGCCTATTAATATATCGGATAGGGTATAACGTATTATAGAATACCACGCTATATTATAGGTGAATTCTGCTAATAGTAGTCGGTTAACCTAGTTATCCTATTCCTACGAGTAGAATACACGTAGGTAATACTCGAGGTTCTGATTCTCCTATTCCGTTTATCTATCTGTCTACAGGTGCCACGCTATAGATAGGCGATATGCGGTGCTAAGACACCGATATAAGGTTACCTAAAAACGACTTATAAATAATAAGCCTTAGTCTAATATAATACCGTTAGGCAGGCTGAAAATACGGAAGACGTGATACTATAGAGACTTAGTAAGTCCTTCTGCTATTAGGCCACTACTCGAGGGGATATAAATCGAGTACTTTATTAGGCGGTATACCACTATAGGGATAGTATCTCTTTTACGGCCTAGGCTATAGACCGGCGGTAGCCCCGTGATAAAGTTCATAGATATCTCTATAAAGAGGCGCGGAGGTATTAAGAGACTCGCTAATTCGTTATATAGCTAATAGTGCCACGGCTTAGTATGTTAATAGGTAGTATAGGTGGGTATAAACTATCGGATATCCTTAGGTAAATAATCCTAAAAGTAGAAGTCCGAAATCCTCTTAGTAGTCCTTATAACCCTATAGTACCCCACGCTGGGTCTATTATAGAAACACTGCAGGACCTTTTAATAAAGGCCAGAGTAGTCTAGTATAAAAACGCGATTCTTAAAACAAAGGATACTAACACTCCTAGACTAATACCCGTGCGTGGCCTTATTACCATAGGCCTTACGCTATCTAGTGCAAAAAGGGTTATCCGCTTACGCCTTTACTACCTTTTCTAGTAAGGTGGGGGAATTAAGAGCGGGAATAATAAGGGCAGTGCGGGAACTACGCTAGTTCCCGATAATACCTAAAACAAAACGCCTCAAAAAAGGCTCTAAGATAAAGTCATCCACTTACGTCTTAACTATCTTTTCCGGTAAGGTAGGAGAAGCGGGAATAGCGCGGGTACTATACTAGGTCCTATATAGGCCTAAGGCTGAACGCTTCGAAACGGACTCTGGAAAAAGGTTATCCGCTTATATCTTAACCACTAAAATAGGAGTAGCGGGAAAATTATAACCAGGGCTATTACGGGAACTATCCTGGTTCCCGATATAGCCTAAAATAAGGCGCCTCGATAAGGGCTCCGAAAAGAGATTATCCGCCTATACCTCTACCACCTTCGGTAAGGGGGAGTTAAGAGCGGGAATAGAAACCAGGGTAGCACGGGAACCACGCTAATTCCCGATATAGCCTATAAAAGGCTTAGAAAAAGACTCTGCCGCCTTAGCCCGGTTAGTAACTAAGGCACGCTTATAGGGCGCGTGCTAGGGCTTTCTTAATAGCCTATCCGCGGGGTTTAATGTCCCCGGGCGGTGCCGAATCTTAAAATTAAACGGGGCGAGCTCCTTAAGCCACTTAGCGTGCTAGCCCTTAAGCTTTGGCTTATTTAATAGGTGGCGATAGTTTAGGTGGTCCGTTTGAACGACCACGGGGCTTTAACTATAGGTAACGTAATGACGCTACGTACGGAAAGACTCGATAATAGCTATAAGCTTAGAATCGGGCGTGCTATAATTAAGCTTAGCCCTATATAGCTTACGGGATATAAACGCTATAGGGTGTTATAAGCTATCCTCGAGTTAGCTAATAATAGCGCTAAGAGTAAAGGCAGAAGTATCTAGCTTAATACGTATCGGCAGAGTAGGGTTAAAATACCGTAAAACGGGCGCTTTCTAGAATAGCAGTTTTATCTCCTTAAACGCGGTCTAGGCCTATAGGGAAAGTATGAGGATCCTATTATACCCCCCCTTTAAATAATCTATAAAAGGGGTAACGACCTTAGAATAGTTCTTAATAAAGCGCCTATAAAAACCTATAAAGCCTAGGAAGATCTATATCTTCTTAACACTATTAGGAAGCTCCTAGTCGCAGATAGTATTAACGCGGGATAGGTCTATACGTACCTTATCCGGGCTATAGATAAACCCGAGGAACTCGATATCGCGGGTCTTAAACTTATACTTATCGGGGTTAGTATACAGGGACTACTGCCTAAGCCTAGTAAGGACCTCGCGGACGTATACGCGGTGGGTAACTAAATCCTTATTATAGATAAGGATATCGTCAAGGTATATAATGTAAATAGTGTCGATAAGGCCCGTTAGTGCCTAGTTAATATACCGTTAGAAGCTCGCGGAGGTGTTAGTTAACCCGAATAGTATAACGAGATACTCGTAATAACCGTATTTCGTCCGGTACGCCGTTTTCCACTTATCGCCCTCCCGAATCCGTAATCAATGGTATACGTCCTTAAGATCCAGCTTAGTGTAGTACTACGCCGATAATAGCCGATCTAGGATTTCGTGGATAAGGGGCAGGGGGGTACAGTCCTTAACGGTCACCTTATTTAGCCCTCTATAATTAATATAAAGGCGTAGCTTACTATCTTTCTTAGAGATAAATAGGATAGGGGCGCCGGCCGGACTAGTGGATAGTCTAATTCACCCTTTTATAATGGTATCCTGTAGATACTAACGTAGTACCTTAAGCTCTTAGGCGGCGAGGGGGTAAATAGGACTATAGGGAGGCTTTTTATCCTCCTCGACCTTAATAGCGTGGTTCTACTATTAGTGCGTTAGTAGCCGTCCGGCGTTTTCGACGTTAAAAACGTTAGCGAAATCTTAATACTATTCCGATAGCGTGGAGGTGGCTACTAGGTCCCCGTCTAGGCTAGGGTAGACCCCGTCTACTAGGAATTTATCCCTATATCCTACTAAAGGGTTTTCTATTAGGCCGGAGTGGCCGATATAGCCGATATAGCCGATACGTAGGACCCGCGTAGAACCTATATAGGTTAGAGTAAGGATAGAC